GCACACAGAGGCAGACGGGGACAGCCAATACAGTCTATGGTACAGCCGCGGATCACAAAGCACCTGTCAAAGCAATGCACTCTCCGAACTATATGAAGCACTATATGAACCGTCACGTGGTGCGGCCGCTACGCGAGGCTTCGAACGTCACCACACACGTGACCAATACACGCCTCGACCCACACTTCACAAGAAACGCCCCCAGATTACTCGGTCCACGCTTCGAAGACTCGTCCGCTCAGCACATCACTACTTGCAACTAAGCCTGCTAAGAGACTTTTAAAAAATTGACTTGAATATCTGTTATTTCAAGTAGTCAAGGCGGGGTATTGGGTAAAGTTTTCAACTAGCAATAATCGCGCCTCGGTTAGCCCTCATAAGCAACGATACTGCCACTGCGCAAAGCTACAGACAGGGGAGAGCGAAAATATGCTGACTGGGGTTCTGGCTACCTCTGCTCATGGTTGGAGCACATTTTTGGCCAAACACTTCCTGGAGAAGGGAAATTCTGTTGACTTTTGTCTCTTTTCCTTCACTTACGAGCACCAAAAGGTTGAAATACGTATATAAAGTTACTCCATGTTCAAGGTAAAATGGCAATGCTGGGATGCAAACCCGGGAGTACCTGTTTACTAGACAGGCGCTTTGACCACATAGTTGAGAAACTCTCGTGCAGAATGATGTAGTTACATCAAAGATAAAATAAATGTATATACGCAACGACTGGGCTCGTCCGGGATTTCAACCCGGACTTCTCGCATCCAAAGCGAGAATCATACTCCTAGACCAACGAGCCACAAAAATGAATCACACAAACGAGCCCACACAAACAGCCCCGCAGAGATCGCCTAATTTACAATTGGAAAATGTGTGCCAATCCACAGCGACATCTAATCACTGACGTATTGGGCTCAATATTGAGGAAAACTGCCAATGAATTATGATATGACCATCAACTAAATGGTCAGTGGGATTGGGCTCATCCGGGATTTGAACCCGGGACCTCTCGCACCCTAAGCGAGAATACCCCTAGACCAACGAGCCATTCACCACAGCCATTACAAGATTTACAATCAGAAAATGTCCTCTCATTCACAGCAACATGTATCTTTGCGAAACCTTGCCTCCCACTGACGTATTGTGCACAATTTACAGCTTCTGAAGCATTGGGCTAAATGTTGAGGAAAATTGCCATGATTTGACCATCAACTAAATGCTCAGTGGGATTGGGCTCTATGTGGCTCCACTGCAACATATCTTAGCGAAACCTTGCCTCCCACTGAGGCTCAAGGTAAAAAGGCACTGCTGGGATTCGAATCCAGGATCTCCTGTTTACGAGACAGGCGCTTTAACCAACTAAGCCACAGCGCCACTCAAGTACAATGTCAACCACCAGTTTGACATCATATTGAAGGACCTCGAATTGCAGTTATGTGGCCCGTTTTAGAACATTCACTTAACACAGTTCCAAATAGGGTAAACAGGGTAATACTAGCTTGACTATTGACTGGAATTCTTGGGTTCCCTTAACAGGACCGTTATAGGATCCTCTCAAAAGCATCAGCCATGTTTTTGGTGTGTGTTGAACAAAGAACTTTGAGTTGCCACTGTCTCTGACTGCCGAGACCCGGGATCTAACCAAGGACCTTTGGATCTTCAGTCTAACGCTCTCCCAAATGAGCCATTTCGGCATGTTACGCACAGCTCTTACTTGTGAGAGGTTTGCTTGACACTGAAAACCCCACGGATGAAAGCATATATTGCTTGAAGATTGGGAAAATAAGCATCAATTGCAAAGACCGCCCAACATGGGGTTCGCCCTCACGACCCTGAGAGTCTCATGCTCTACCGACTGTTTTTCTATGTTTCAAGGTAAAAAGGCACTGCTGGGATTCGAATCCAGGATCTCCTGTTTACAAGACAGGTGCTCTGACCAACTAAGCCACAGCGCCACTAAGGCAGCTTCTCACTACCAGTTTGACCTCATATAGAAGGACCTTGAGTTACATTTGCTTGAATGAAAACTGGCAGTTATTTGGCCCTTTTTGAACATTCACTTACCACAGGTCCAAATATTGAACATTTCCCTTCACCCTTTAGCCAAAGTCCAAGTGTGAATTTTCTTTTTTTCAGTTGCTTGGAAGAATGTGAAACCATTTCAATATTGGTCACCTTTTCCAAAGGATTGCCAGGAGTGGGATTTGAACCTAAACCTCCATTAGAGACCAAAAAAACCCAGGATTAGAGTTGAGGAAGTCATGGAGAACACCGCTACACTGTGCCAGACGCCATCCAATGTGAGCATTTTCCCACTCAAGTCTGTTATGGCGATGAGCTGGAGTCAGGTCAAGACCCCGATGAGGACGACAAGCATGCATTTTGAGCGTCCCTGAGACGGTTTCTGACGTTTGTGCAGAAATTGTTTGGTTATGCAAACCAATTGTTTCAGTGGCTGGTCTCAGACCATCTTGGAGGTAGAGGTCCTGGCCTGGTGTGGTTACACGTGCTCGGCGGTTGTGAGGCCGGTTGGTCCACAATGAAAGGTTGGATCCAGTCCTGAACTCTCAGTCCCTTTAAAACACAAACAGAAAGCCATGGGCAATTTCATGTCCACCCCAGATGGAACTCTGACCTTTTTAAATTGTAACAATTTAGAGTTTCATAGGGACCTGTATCTTTTTTTAATCTAAGGAAGTTTATATAATTAAACCTCTGAATAAGGTTGTTCTTGGATGAAAAGAGTCACCTTCCATATAGCAGAGGACGGTTTCGATCCATCGACCCTCTGGGTTATGGGCCCAGCACGCTTCGCTGCGCCACTCTGCTGTGTGGATTGCTTCCAAGCTCTCAGTCGCACTTGGATTAGTCCAAATGAAGAAAGGTTTCTCACCCATCTGTGCTTAGCAGTTTTTCCCATGGGATGTCTAACCACACCCACAGGTAATAAATCTCCAACTTCGACCTGAGCTTTCATTTCCTTGAAAAAGTTATTTGGATTGAGGAGGAAGCGTGGGAAAACCTGCAAAGAAAGGGAAGAAACCTTTCTTCGTTCTGCTGTCTTGAGTTGCATCTTTAGATCAAGTTCCCAAGACTAAAGGATCACTGTAGTAAATTACAACTTCTTCCTAAGACTGCACCCCAGATGGAACTCAAACCACAGTCTCTGTCGTCAGAGGGCAGTGCCTTATCCATTAGGCCACTGGTCAGCTTACAGCTCACTTTGAAAACCTGCCAAAGTATAAATTCACTGAGAAATAATACCCTGAGGCAATGAGCCAGCCAGTATGATGACAATTGCTAGAATAACTCCTTTCACAATCAAATTCTAAATTCATTATTTTGATAGGTGAACCTTTCCTACTGAACATTGTTCTTGCCTTGGAGCAAGCTTCTCTTGACAGTAGATGTGCGTACTAAGTCCTTCAGTTAATGTTATTTGACATGCAACTATGCCTGCTAAGAGACTTTTAAAAAATCGACTTGACTATCTGTATTTCAAGTAGTCAAGGCGGGTATTGGTGTAAAGTTTCAACAAGCAATAATCGCGCTCGGGTTAGCCCTCATAAGCAACGATACTGCACTGCGCAAAGCTACAGACAGGGGAGAGCGAAAATATGCTGACCTGGGGTTCTGGCTACCTCTGCTCATGGTTGGAGCACATTTTTGGCCAAAGACTTCCTGGAGAAGGGAAATTCTGTTGACTTTTGTCTCTTTTCCTTCCAGATTGTGACTCTGGTCTGTGAAAAGTGGCGGTATATAAATAAAGCTTACTCACTTACGAGCACCAAAAGGTTGAAATACGTATATAAAGTTTACTCCATGTTCAAGGTAAAAATGGCAATGCTGGGATGCAAACCCACGGGAAAAAAGTACCTGTTTACTAGACAGGCGCTTTGACCACATAGTTGAGAAACTCACGTGCAGAATGATGTAGTTACATCAAAGATAAAATAAATGTATATACGCAACGACTGGGCTCGTCCGGATTTCAACCCGGGACTTCTCTGTGGAACTGTTTCTGCGACACATTCCACCTCACGTGCAGACGGCTCTCGCAAATACAGCCATTACGGAGCCACGTGCTCTGGCCACCCATCGTTTCGTCCCTGACGTGTTGGCCCCGACACGCAGCTACACCCCCCCCCTGGTGCGGCCGCTCTGCCTGTTAGGGGGCGCATTGTGACTAGACGGCCCGGCCAGCCCTGGTTTGTGCTACTTCCATGCGCGTTTCGGGGCAAAGCTAAGAGGTTGCCGCTCCCCATGCAGTTTCAACGCGACGGGAAACGCCAAGGCCTGCGCTCAGTAGTGGCCGTGAGCGCAGGCCGAAGGGGCCGGCTGCTGTTTGTTTGGACACCCTGTCCCGGGCGCAGGTTCCTCTGTGACACTGGCGCCCAGAGGAGCGTTCTGCCGGCTACAGTGGACGATGCTGCTGGGGGTTGCATGGCCCGCCCTTAACGTCCGCCAATGACACCCCTATCCGGACATATGGCACAAAGGCTGTGGACGTATGTTTCGGGGGCCAGCGGTTTACATGGACTTTGTCACGGCCGATGTCTCGTTTCCCCCTCCTCGGTGCAGATTTTCTGTGCGCCCAGGGTTACTCGTGGATGTCAAAAATGGCCCGCCTGGTGGACGCTTTGACTTCCTCCTCATTCGCGTGTGTCTGCGATGAGGGGACATACAATGGTCTCTCCAGCTCGCTTGCTGAAGGTGACAAGTACCTGCGGCTCCTCATGGAGTACCCTGACCTGACGCGGCCCACTTTCTCGGCTGCTACGGCTAAACACGGAGTCGAACACCACATCGAGACCAGAGGCCCTCTATCCACGCCAGGGCCCGGCGGCTCAATCCGGAGAGGCTGACGACTGCCAAGGCCGAATTCGCCAACATGGAACGACTTGGCATCATTCGCCGTTCTGACAGCCCGTGGACTTCACCACTCCACATGGTTCCGAAGCCAGACGGTGGGTGGCGTCCGTGTGGTGACTACCGCCGTCTTAATGATGCGACCACGCCCGATCGTTACCCGGTGCCCCACATTCAAGACTTTTCCGTACATTTGGCGGGGAAGTCCGTGTTCTCTAAAAGTGGATCTGGTGCGGGGTTACCACCAAGTCCGGTGCACCCTAGCGGACATCCCGAAGACAGCAGTGGTGACTCCTTTCGGGCTGTTCGAGTTCCTCAGGATGCCTTTTGGCCTGAAGAACGCAGCCCAGTCGTTTCCAGCGGCTAATGGACTCGGCACTCAGGGACATGCCTTTCATCTTCGTCTACTTGGACGATGTCCCCTCTGTCGCCAGCTCCTCGGAGGAGGAGCACCTGACACATCTCCGAGTTCTTTTTACACGGCTCGACCAGCACGGCTGATCATTAACCCGGCTAAGTGTGTTTTTGGGGTGCCGTACCATAAAGTTCCTTGGGCATCTCATCACCAGTGAGGGGGCTGCCCCCCTCCCTTCGAAGGTGGACGCCGTTTCCACTAGCCGGCAAATCCAATGTGGTTGCGGATTGTCTTTCCAGGGCGGTCGTTGGTGCGGTCCAGCTCGGACTAGACTACGAGCGTATGGGTGCAGACCAGCCGCAGACCGCACCCTTCAGTCCCCTCAAGGACTCCGGACACTGGACTGCAGCTGGGAAAGGTCGCGGTCGGCGCTTCTGGGGTCAGGTTGTGGTGTGACCCCTCTACCGGCCAGCCCAGGCTCTGGGTCCCTGCCAGCTTGCAGCGGTCTGTTTTTGAGACTATACACGGCCTGTCCATCCTGGCAGAAAGGCATCTGTTAGGCTTGTATCGCAAAAGTTCGTCTGGAGAGGACTCAAGAAGAATGTGGCGGGCCTGGGTTGATTCTTGTGTGGCCTGTCAGCGTGCTAAGGTTTTTGTTGTTCCGGAGAGGAGGTTTGACCACGTTAACATCGACCTGGTGGGGCCGGCTTCCCCCTTCACGTGGTTTCACTTACCTCCTCACGATGGTAGACAGGACGACGCGCCTGGCCTGGAGGCTGTTCCCCTCGCCTCTATCACGTCTGCCGATGTGGCTCGGGCGTTCATTGGCACGTGGGGGTTTACGCGTTTCGGTACGCGCCCTCTGAATCTATCCTCTGACCGGGGTGCGCAGGTTTACCTCGGAGATCTGGAACGCTGTGGCGGGGGGTTTGGGTGTCAAGTTGCACGCACCCACCGCATACCACCCCCAGGCTAACGGACTGTGTGAACGTTTCCACCGCCTATGAAGGCTCCCTTCGGGCCAGCCTGACGGACGGCAACTGGGTGGACAAACTGCGCCTGGGGTCATGCTTGGCCTTAGGAACCGCCCCAAGGAGGATCTGCAGTCTCTCGTCTGCCGAGCCTTGTTTACGGCCAGCTTTGCGGGTGCCTGGGGATTATATACCGGATGCTACGAGGACCTTGGTCCCTGCTACCGAAACAGCGCGGTCCTCCCTGCGGGAGGTGGCCACGGGGTTTGCGCCTGTTCCTACGTCGCAGCACTGCTCCCCTGAGTCCCGGATGCCCGCTGGCCTCCGCTCTGCGTCGTTTGTTTTCGTCCGCCACGACGCCCACCGTGGACCGCTGCGTCCCCCTTACGACGGCCCGTTTAAGGTTTTGCAGCATGGGGACAAGAGCCTGGTCGTGGACATTGGGGGTAGACCTGAAACTATTTACCGTTGATAGGATCAAGCCTGCTCATGTGGACATTTCCAGACCGTTGGTGTTGCCCAGGCCCCACGCCGCGGACGCCCCCCAGTACTTTGTTCCCCTGGTCAGTCGGGAGTTCCTTCGACCGGGACGGTGCCGGCTGCGTCCCCGCTTCCCTCACCCCTCAGCCCCTGCCACATGTACTCGGAGTGGTCGGCCATCATTCCATTCCGGAGTGGGGATTTTGACTATGGTTGAATTCTTGGGGGGGCTTGTGTGGTCGGTTTACATAATTCACCCATGGAACTGGGGTTACTCTGCGTGGGGTTCCGGGGGACAGAAAAAACCGTTGCACAGTTTTCCGACTAGGAGAAATGTTTTTGGTTGTGTGAGAGTTTTGTTAACACTGGCCTGTTTTATGGCATTAAAACGTGTACGTTTGTCACCGCTGTTTGACACACCGACCTCCGACTCCGCTCCTTACGCACCACATTTTTTGTTATTTTTACTTCCGCTTCCGTCCCGATTCCGTGTATGATCTAGTGCCGACCGCTGCGTAATGGCCTGGAGACAGGCTCTGACGGAGCAGCAATGATTTACACTCATAAAATATTAACTTTGAAACATGTTTTAAAAAATTATTAGTATTAGCAATATGGCCTACGTGCAGGACTGTACAAGGACTCTACAAGGACTCCATGTTATGACTATGATTTGACTGTCTCTTTGTGACACGTATGTCTTTCGATGTGTGACGTGACAATGACTATATAAACTGTGTACTGCCTTTATTCTGTCTGAGAGAAAGAAACAGAGTAAAACAGTGGAACTTGAGAGAAACTTAAATAAACTTCCAGAGTTTGGCACACCACGATCCGTCTCTGTCTGCTAAATCCTTACAGATTTGGTGGAGAATGCGCGGCTCGGTTTGTGCCATTCTCTGGATTGTTTTGAGAGAATTTCCTCTGTTTCTTTTTTTCGGCGTGTGGGAGCAACAGCACGTTATCTGGAAGGGGAGAAATCCCAGCGGACGCTGAAAGGGCTCGCTTTTGGATGGGCTTGCTCTTGCTCCCTCACTTTCTCTGTTTTGTGTTTAAATTGAATTTTCCGACGCGGAAAAGAGTTGGCAGACCTCTCGGACAGTCCTTGGAACCGGTTTGACAAGAATAAGGTGAGCAGACACCTTTTTTAATATGTAAAGTCTGCATAATTGGATATTAGCTAAATTTTGGTCTGTTTTTTGGGGTCTGTCAAACTCTCTAAATTGTATTTTGAAGAAGTCTCGGGGTTAAAGTCCCTTTGAGCCTCGGGGTTAAAGTCCCTTTGAGAAAGTCTCGGGGTTAAAGTCCCTTTGAGCCTCGGGGTTAAAGTCCCTTTGAGAAAGTCTCGGGGGTTAAAGTCCCTTTGAGCCTCGGGGTTAAAGTCCCTTTGAGAAAGTCTCGGGGTTAAAGTCCCTTTGAGAAAGTCTCGGGGTTAAAGTCCCTTTGAGAAAGTCTCGGGGTTAAAGTCCCTTTGAGAAAAGCCTCGGGGTTAAAGTCCCTTTGAGAAGAAGCTTCAGGGTTAAAGTCCCTTTGAGAGAAACCATGGTGAATTAAAAGTAATTATAAAAAGGGAAACGTTAAACACTAAAGAGTGCCTTTTGTTACTAGTGTGGAAAGTGATCACTTCTAGATTTGGATGACAAAAGTATAAAGAACAACATAAGTTATATTCGCTTAACAAAGTAATCTTGAAAGTTATTCTTCTGTATCTTTCTGCCTGTGTGTGTGCGTCGCTCTATCTGCTGCCGTTGTCAGGGAAACGGCCCCCTCCTTCGCTGCTCTGGCTGTGAATCTGAAGCAAAGCTACTGCTTTAGGATTTTTGGCTTTTCATAGTTGTTATTCCGTTAAATTTGCGAAATATGCCATTTGAACATTGTGTTATGACACAGTTAAACGTTTTTAAACACCATTTAGTGAATAAGTTTTTAATATTATATGTTTTTGAAACCCAAAGATTAGTACAAAAAGCTTTGCTTTTCTTTTTAAATCTGCTGCTTATTTTGTGAGTCCATTATTGTATCTCTGATATATTTCATAGCTGTTTGTGAGAATTTTTTCATGTATTTTTTATTTTAGTTACAAAAGCCGTTTTTCAAACATTTAAATTAGAATCTGTTAAAAGTGATTAATGATTGTAGACTTAGTCTAAAAAAGAAAGAGGGAATTAGGCTGCAAAAGTATTATATTATTAAGTTAAACTACCCAATTCACATGCAAGTGGTGACTTTTGTTTTTGTTTTGACTACACGCCTGACCTTGTTGCTCCTGCTGATGCCACAGCAGAGGAGACTGGTCTAAAATGTGCTCCAATTCATACTGACTTCATTTGAAAAATGCTGCAATTATTTTAAATTAGTAAAATATATGCTGAGATAAATGCATAGATAATTAATCACACAGTACAAAAGTATATAATACATGTTTTAAAGTTTAAAAGGTTGTTTGTTTTGAGTATAATTGTTGTTTTGATAACTTCTTTAGTTTCTGGTCTTCAAATGTCATCATTAGTAAGATAATAAGTAATCTTTATTTACATAGCGCTTGGGAAAGCCAAGAGCGCTTCAAAATTGTTTAGACTTCAGAGAGAAAAACAATCTCATTCACAATCTCTGTTGTTTTTAATTTGACTATAAGGTTGTTTTCCAGAACCAAGAGCACACACTGTACACTGGACTGCTGGACACTGGACAGCGCAAAGCCCACCCAGCCACAGGTCACAGATCAAAGAGCAAAGGGAAATGCCACCTCCTTGCCCCTCCCCACGCCACTGCAGAACTGAGTGGGTGTGAGAGAGACCGGGGCCATGAAAGAGAGGTATCTGGAGACGTGATGGGTGGAGCGTCAGGTAGAGACCTAGAGGGAGTTGAAAGTGTGTCTACGTGGTTTACATCACCACAGTGTGACCTTTGAGACCTACAGGTGGTTCGAGGAGTCTGGAGAGACAACCCCAAAATTCATACACACACACACACACATACACACACACACACACTCACATTTACATATAGATACATGAAAAAGCAGAACATGAGAAAAAAGCATTTTAAAAGTTTACTCCAATGTAAACACATATTTTTAATTGTCTATCACTTGAATCTTTAGTTGAATCAGTATTTTTTGAGACCAGAAATGTTCATTTGAATTCTATATTGTCATGGACATAATTGACCTCTGTCCTGACACTTTTGATTTGTTGATTTTGTACTGTGTGAAGTAATTACATTGATGAGAATTAGATCTGATAAAAACACAAATTAGAGAAGTAAACTGCGCTTGCTTTTGTCTAAGGGACATTAGCAACAGCATGAATAGAAATTGTGTTAAAGTAGAATCAAAGTGATTTAACCATAGAAAGTAACTATTGCATAACAAGCTGTGTACAGGAACTGAGACACTGCACCATTGACCAGAAGTGCATCGCAAATGACCTGATGTGCGCTTCAAGTGAAAAGACTGTATCTGGAGATCCTGATGTGCATCTGGAGAGACCAGAACCATGGCTTGGACCCTACTGATGTCCAAGATGACATCTCTCTCTATGACCTGAGCTGATGACGACTGAGACTCACCCTCAGGGGACCCTGAGGACCTGAGGACCTGAGAGAAAACTGGAGAGTGATGTTTATATTTTTGAAATCATACATTGATGAGTGCTAAATGAGAGAGATACTCATGATTCTTCTTTTGTTTTTGTTTGTCCCTAGCTTCTGGACATCTGATGATCTATTGGACACAGCCATTTGCAGAACAAGAACCAGCCAATGAAAACGTCTATTGCCGATGCTCTTGCTACAACCAGAACCTGTGACCAAATGCAATATACATGTTAAGTATTCAGACATCTGACAGACAAAAACTTTGACTTTTTTGTCTGGGAGACTGAGCAACTGTTAAAATGTTTTAAAATGATAAAGTATGAGTATTGTAGCGTTTTAGTAGATGTTAAATAGTAGTAAAAAAGTAGAATTTGACTTCCTTTGTTGTTCATAAACATATTTCCACGTAAGAGTTAAAATATTACCCATAATAAAAAAAAAAAAATACAATATTATCCTTTTGATAGATCAGCTATAATATTAGAATCAGAGTATTTTAGAGATATTAAAAGTGACAGAAGTCACAAACTAGGAATATGCCTTGGCTCTAGCTGCAACCGAGCTTTGGAGTTAAAAAATAGAGTAAAAATAGGAGTAGATAAATGCATCAACCATAGATGCTTTCAAAAATAGAGAATATTTCCAGCCAGTGCTAATATCAAATGGTAAAGGGACCATTTCACAAGCATTTACTTCAAAAGTAGATAAAGTTACTTACAGTTTATGTACAGTTTTATTAGATACTTGCCAAATTCACTTGTGTTCAAACATCTGTGAATGTTGACTATGCAAAAGTCCATATGAGTGTAGTCTAGATTAATGCCTAGATCAATGAGATAGATTACAACCAACAGAGATTCAAAAGCATTTAAAAGCATTTTGATGTATTGGGGTGTAGCCCAAAAACACAATAGTAGATATTTAGATATTGAGAAGTTTCCAGCACAAACACCGTTGTAGAATAACTGACCCCAACCCCAAACCTGCTAAAACAGATTAGCTCTTGTAAGGATAACACTAATTTGATTAATGATGTTCATTCATCCCAAACTGCCTGACAATAATATCTTTAGATAATAAAAAGTAATAAATCACTGACCACTATAGAAGTGTAAATGTTGACCGTTTGCCTTACTGTGTTCACAGTTTTATTCCTGAGAATGAGAATAGACATGGAGCAAAATCCCACTGATAATAAGCCACTGATAATGAGAGTATAATACCACAGAGAGATTTGTTAGATTAAAATGTATGTTTAAGAATATGGCTCAATAGAAGCAAATATGCAAACATATTTGTAAATAGATTAGAATAGTTTTAAACTATAGTGAATAGTAAAAGTAAAGTACACAGTCTAAGATTGAAAAGTGAAAACAATACAGTGGAGTGAAGTGTAAACAATCAGCATTAGAAAAAAAGTATAGAGTAATAAAAGTGAAATTAGCTTCTAATTTGAGACTCAGCTCGTTTTTTGTCTGTGTTTTGACTGAATCTGCTGAGTTCTTGTGTGTCCAATAGTGTTTGTTTGTTTTTATTTTTGATTTGTTTTTTGTTTGTTTATTTACTTTATTTTTGTTTGTTTATTTTTTCCCAGGATAGAGGATAAAATCCACTGATATTGATTTGATGATTATGAGTTTAATGCATACATTTTCTTTGTTTTTAATAATTTTTTAAAGTTTTTTTTTTTTTTTTTTTCCACTTTATTGATTGATCGATTTGAGTGATCACATGTGATTATGTGATCAAAGGGGAGGGTATTAGTATTAGATAGCAATATGGCCTACGTGCAGGACTGTACAAGGACTCTACAAGGACTCCATGTTATGACTATGATGTGACTGTCTCTTTGTGACACGTATGTCTTTCGATGTGTGACGTGACAATGACTATATAAACTGTGTACTGCCTTTATTCTGTCTGAGAGAAAGAAACAGAGTAAACCAGTGGAACTTGAGAGCAACTTAAATAAACTTCCAGAGTTTGGCGCACCACGATCCGTCTCTGTCTGCTTAAATCCTGACACAACCTTGTTTGTATTGGTGCTTTATAAAATAAACTGAACCACTGTGACAGTACCTGCTGCCCCCATCTAGCTATACATACCCAATTAATAATAATTATCATTATAGATATTACCTGACATATTATTCTCCTAAAAAGTAAATGGGGGGGGGGGGGGGGGGGTCAATTTTGTAAATATTTCAAAACATAAAAAAACAAAACAATGTTTCATAGTCTCGAATCGACTCACCACTAATGACTTTAAACAAACAAGACGTGCTTTAACTGTCGTAGGGCTGGCACCTTTCAGAGCCTGGCCATTCCACATGCATCTACGTACAGGGTACGTTCGACATGATTTCTAAACAATTCAATAAGATTCAGTAAAACAACAGGATTACCTTCTCTAGTCCGGGAATGCTAGAATCTGTTTAAGTTAGGGTCCAACCAAAGTGGATTTTATGAAGCTGATGCTTGATAAATACATTATCAGTTGCTTTTCAAGTTTATTCATTAGAATGTTCAAACGTCCCAATATTTATGGACAGGATTGTATAGGCAGGGCTGAACTAAAGTTTATGTGATTGAAAAAGCCAAATTTATTCAATCTTCATTTGAACCTTTACATACTCTGGCAGCTGCTCCTCCCGTTTGATGCTCTGCTCCTCTTTAACCTGTGGAGTCTCTGGGATTTTCTTGTTCAGACCGGAGCCTGGAGTCTGTGGGGGAATCTGGGCATCTGAAGGAGGGAATAGAAAAAGTAAAAGACCAAGTGAGCAAGTTGGAAACATGAACTGAAAAGTGTTTGAAAAATTATAGAAATTCTGAACTTTCAAATGTGACATTTTCCCCATCATTATCTCATTGCCTCTCAGCAAATTTCAGAACAGCTTTGATCTTTGTCACCAATTTCTCAAGACCAACAGAATATTGTATGCTATGACTATGCAAAATCTGAAATCTGTATTTGAAAGAATGCACTGCCTACTTTCATTAGAAAAAATAAAGTTGGTTTTTGGCTGGTTTTGTTCTTCTGTAATTGCCAATATATGAAAAATAATGAGTTTATGAAAATAAATAAATAAAAAAAACACATGAGGAAGTGCTTCGGATATAAAATGTATTTATTTGGATCCATACACAAAGCTTCTTAGTTTCAATAAGCCCTCAATCTCATGTTTTACAAAATTGAGCCCATGACAAACTATAACAACAACAAAAGTCAGAAAAAAATGACAAACCAAAGTGAAAACTATTAACATAAAGGGGTAAGGAAACAGATCTGTAGTGTGCATGTGCACGTTTTTCTGTGTGTGTACATCTACACAGTGTAATCTTTTTTAGAGTGGTATACATTGAAGCACTCTCCAGCGTGTAAGGGAACACAACAGGACTTGCAGCCCATCCTGGTTTCTCTGCGCAGGCCCTTGCGTGTGCAGACCCTGCACTTCCTCGAGGGTCTAGCCTTACTGCTTACTGAGGACAACAGGTATTCCAGCTTGTGCCTAGCCATGTTTCCATCGAGCCTGCTCTCTGGGTCAGTTTTGTATGGGGCCCTTCGGGTACAAGGAGCTTTTTCCATCACACATGATTCATCTTCCAGAGGAGCTTGTTCTTTCGAAGGTGGTTCTTCCTTCACACATGCGACTTCAACCTCCTCCTCCTTTAGGTGATTGACATTGTCACTGTGGCCCTCCTCCTGGACGATGTTGCCCTGTTCCTTCTTGTTGCCCTGATCCTCCTCCTCCTCCACTACACATTGCTTAGCTGTCCAGGACTTTGCAACCCGCCGCATGAATTCCAATAGAGTTTTACACTCCTTGTTCCTGGCTCTGTAGAGGATGTAAGCGTTGAACATTGTGATTTGAAACAAATACGCAACATACTTTTTGGACCAGTTCAGTGACTTATGGAAGGAGGGGTAATATGCTACGTTCTTGACAAAATGATCTACTCCATTCATAGATGCTTTGTACGCGACAACACACGCTGGCTTCATCAGAGTCACCTTTTCTCTGTGTCCGCTCTTCCACACGTCAACACTCTTCATGTCATCTTGGTGACAGGTCGTCACCATCTTTACCAGCTTTTTGTCCTGCCACGCCACGACCATGACCTTCTTGTTGTTACACACTACTCTCCCCCCCGCACCCAGCGCAGACTTTTTCACCTCCCTGATCATCCGAGGCTCTCCCCTGTTGTCCCTCAGAGATCCACATACATTAGTTTTTGCTTCCAGTAACTGTTCACACAGTGCAACGGAGTTGTAAAAATGATCCATGAACAATGTATGGCCAGAGCTTGTGAGACGGTCAAGAAGCGAAAACACAATGTCAGGCAGGGCACGTGAATCCCCAACATGAGGCTGCAAGTTGAAGCAGTACCCTGTGGCCGAGTCACACAGTACATAGGATTTAATTCCATATTTGACTGGCGTGTGCGGGTTGTAGACTGTGAAGGACAGCTTTCCCCGCCACTGCATCATGCACTCATCAATGCAGATGTTCTGCCCTGGTTGGAACAGATCCTTGAACTTTTGAACAAGGTAGTCCAAGACGGGGCGAACCTCGTACATTTTGTCCATGTCATCAATTGATGAGTTGTCATTGTAATGCAGGAACTTACCTATTATTTGAAACCTGTTCCTAGACATGGTCTGGCTGAAAAAAGGCGTTGCATCAATCTCGTCAACACTCCAGTACATTCCTAAGCTTGGTTTTTTTACATAACCGGTCACAAAGGTCAGTCCAAAGAAGGTTTTTAGCTCTGGGATGGTCACTGGTTTCCAAGTATGCCCTCTGCTATGTGGCAGAATATTCGGGTGTGCTTGGAAATACTGCTGGGCATGAAGGTTTGTCTGCCGAGCAATGAGTTGGAGCAGCTCGTCTGTGATGAACAACTCCAGGAAGTCAGCTGGAAGGTCAGAATCCAGTTCTGCAGCGGCATTCTGGGGTCCAGGCGTTGCCGTGAAGGGGAACACATTTGGACTCCAGTCAGCTTTACGCCAGTCGCCATCGTTACTCTTTGCAGCTGAAATAAATTAATGAAATATATACAATGAATAAACACATTCGTTTTTTGATTGCTTGCTTTGTTGTGATTTAGAGGAAGATTTTTATATTACCTGCTTCCTTTTTCCTCTTCTTCACACGTTTATGTGTAAGAGTCACACTGCCAGAATCACTGCTCGATGTAGAGGCTGTAGAATAATACAATAACTTATCAAACCTAATGTATTAGAACATATTACACACACACAAAAATGTAAACACATTGATACAGTTTGGTCAATGACTCGAAAAACTCCTGAAATGTCCTCCGCCATTACCACTGAATGTTCACAGACCCACTCTTGTCCTAAATGTAACAATTATGTCCCCAAAGATCAATACATTTTTTTGAAAGGCATAAATTTTTCTTGAAATAGTTTTAGCTGCTCTTCTGAGATTGTAGCCTAATATATATAGTATAGTACATATAATGTATAGAATTAAAAAAGGTTTAGGTACAAACATTTTTAGTTCATACATTTAGTTTATTGTCGCTTGAAGTTAGATCGACCAATGGTACAGTTTAGTGTGGAGTGAGCCATATTTCATTTAAATAGTTTTACTAAATTATATTTAAAACAAAATTGTTTTTGCTATAATATTATGTGCATGTTATGTGTGTGTGCATTACCTGATCTGCTTCTGCTTGGCGTGTAACCATGTGCGTCAGGGGGCGACTCTCTGCTGCTTACAAATTCGAATGGCAACCATTCTGATGAAAACTCCAAGTCTGGTTCATTGAATTCTTCTGACTCTGAACTCTCCGTACTTCGTTTGGCCATGTTTCGATCTGTCCTAAAGTCAACAACTCAGACCACAGACTGTTCAGACGACAATGGGTCACACCAACAAGATACCGACAAGTTGTGTTTCCTGTGACCAAACACCCAGAGAGCGGTGTTGCCCCCTGTTGGCTAAATAACACACTATCTACAGCAAAACACGATTAATGTAACACATGGATCAATCAGATGTAACATTTTGGACTTATCTTAACATAAACAGTGAAAAACATAATTGACGTTAAAATACGTCGTTGGCAGACAACTTTACTAAATTAATTGACTTATAAGTGCGTCAATGATAGTGAGATTTTTTCGGTAAGTGACTTGATCAGGATCATCATCAACTGCCATTTTTATACACCTCATTTCCTCACAGTCGGTATTAAAAAGTCTCAGTTCATCAAGCAACAAACAAAGTTAAATAAAAAAGGTAACTCACCCGCTCTGAGCAGCATCACTCTCGGCCTCAGAGTCTCCAGCTGCTCCTGTCTCCTCTGCTTCTCTTTGCACAGCCGCAGTTCCTCCTCATATTCCGCTATCGTTCTTTCAAACAGCGCAAATATCTCCTCCGCAGCCGCACTGAGCCGTGCAGTCACCAAAGCTCTCAGTGTTGGTCCCGCAGACATTTTAACAAACTGCTAACACCACGGTAGCTGTGTGGCTAACGGCTAAGCTAACAACAAGCTAAGCTAACAACAGACTAGGCAGGCGTGCATGCTGTTCTGAAACATTCACTTGCACCATCTACTGGATGATTTGAGTGTTCAATTATTCATTTTGGATCTTTTCAAAATTCACACACAAGCTCCGGGCAACAGCACAAAGACGACATTAATAACAGTATATATAAAAATGATATAAAATATATCAGAATCAGAATCATTTTTATTGCCACGTAAGTAACAGGAAGTCACAGACTTGGAAATTGCTTTGGCTCAGTGCAAGAGATAATAAAAAATAAAGAGTAAAAAACACTTCTAAGGAATACATTTACATTTAAAATAGTACACAATGTAAGGTGACAGCAGTACAGTGAAGTAAAGTGACGTATGATGGGCAGTAAAGTGACTTTATAAAGGGCGGGGGGACAGGTTAAGAAGTGTTCAAGAGTCCAACAGCAGAGGGGAAGAAACGACAACGACAACGTAATTCACTCCAAGCTCCGATTGGTCAGGACAGGACACTTTAGTTAATCAGACCGGGGCTGACCCATGGATCTATATTTATAACCTGACCTGAAAAATGTTTTGACTGGATTTGGGCTGTTCCCAGCTTTATAATTAACACCATTAACAGAATTGTGTGACACAATCCATAACAGAAATTATATACAAATAAAGTGAACTGAATTTGAGAGGTTTTGAGCTTCACTAACAGGTTTACTATGCCTATATTGACAGAGCTGAAGTTGGCTGGATGACACTGATCTCAAAGCAAACTTTGTGCTAGTAAGGCAGAGGGCCACAAATGGCCTGCAGGCCTGAGCGTGCTTTTATATAGTCTTGTTTTCACATTGTTTCACACTTGTGTGTTTAGTTACATGTTCATCTCGACTGTATTTCCGGAAAAATGTTTTTCCACAGGTTGAAAAGCTCTCCAGTGTGACATCGTGTGTCTTTAGTTTATATTCACAACCTTTCCACAATAAGGACATTGGTATACCTTCCCCAGCGGAGGAAATGGCTAGAGGCTGAGTCATTTGTTAACATTAAAGATCACATTTCTGTCATTTTCTATGCACATGAAGCCAGTGCGACATAAATTAAAAAAAGCAATAATAAACATTTATGATCACAGTAGGTCAAATGTATCACAAAATCATCTTAAATTTGTCATACAGCATTTCTTATTGAATTTCTAGTCAAATATGAATCTAACTTAAATGTACTTCTATAAATTAGAGAGATATTCAGAGACATATCAATACCTAAAGATAAACAGTACAATAATCAAAATAAAGAGTTGTTCATTTTGACTGCAGTTAGAGCACTGTCTTACATTTATGATCACAGTAGGTCAAATGTATCACAAAATCATCTTAAATTTGTCATACAGCATTTCTTATTGAATTTCTAGTCAAATATGAATCTAACTTAAATGTACTTCTATAAATCAGAGAGATATTCAGAGACATATCAATACCTAAAGATAAACACTACAATAATCAAAATAAAGAGTTGTTCATTTTGACTGCAGTTAGAGCACTGTCTTACATTTATGATCACAGTAGGTCAAATGTATCACAAAATCATCTTAAATTTGTCATACAGCATTTCTTATTGAATTTCTAGTCAAATATGAATCTAACTTAAATGTACTTCTATAAATCAGAGAGATATTCAGAGACATATCAATACCTAAAGATAAACACTACAATAATCAAAATAAAGAGTTGTTCATTTTGACTGCAGTTAGAGCACTGTCTTACGCTGCAGTACAATATTTTCCTCACAGTCTGAAGCTAATGTTTCAAACATTGTGATGTAAAGTCCAAATAAAAGTCCACTCAACATCAGGGACCAATCCAATGCCATTTAATTACCAAACTTCAGCAGTAACGTCATAACATTCCAACGCAAAATATCAAAACCTCCTCCAGGAACAATACAAACAACTCTAGCTCTGCACTTTTCAGTGATACAGAACAAAAAGAGACATAATACAGTCTATTACAGTTTATACCGTTTATAGTACTTACAGAATGTTGAACTGTATGTTATTTATGCATTTTGTCTTGCCTTTTTAGTTTGATTACTACTTTTTTAAGTAGTAGTAAACTTTTTGTTTGGTTGCTTTGTTATGTGGAGACATGTATGATTGTGAATGACGTACAAGGAGCACATTGAACCATAATTCAAGTCAAAAAAATGCATGTAAGAAAAAAGACCATATATATATATATCTCTCCCCCCTGGACTGCGACCATAACGTGGTGGGGGAGTTTGAGTACTCGGATGATCCTGGGAGCTATGCTGTCTGGGGCTTCATGCCCCTGGTAGGGCCTCCCATGGCAGACAGGTCTCAGGTGACGAGTCAGACAAAGAGCAGTCCAGAAGACACCATGGACAGCACTTATATGAGATCAGTGACGTCGCCCGGCATGGCGCAGCCGGGGCCCCACCCTGGAGCCAGGCCTGGGGTCGGGGCTCGTATGCGAGCGCCTGGTGGCCGGGCCTTAGCCCACGGGGCCCGGCCGGGCTCAGCCCGAATGGACGACGTGGGCAGTCCCTCCTGTGGGCCCACCACCCGCAGAGGGGTCCGTGGTGGCGAAGCGGTGCAGAGAGGACTGGGCAGCGGTCGAAGGCGGAGACCTCGGCGACCCAGTCCACACACTCAACAGCTGGCTCTTGGGACGTGGAACGTCACCTCACTGGGGGGGAAGGAGCCCGAGCTTGTGGGGGAGGTTGAGCGATACCGACTAGAGATAGTCGGCCTCACCTCCACACACAGCTTGGGCTCTGGAACCCAACTCCTTGAGAGGGGTTGGACGCTCCACTTTTCTGGTATTTCCCGCGGGGAGAGGCGGCAAGCTGGGGTGGCCATTCTCATTGCCCCCCATCTCAGCCGCCACGTGTTGGAGTTCTCCCCGGTGAATGAGAGGGTCGCGTCCCTCCGCCTCCGGGTGGGGGACAAGTCTCTCATTGTTGTGACGGCCTACGGGCCTAACAGCAGTGCAGAGTACCCGGCCTTCTTGGAGTCCTTGGGAGGGGTACTGGACGGTGCACCGCCCGGGGACTCCGTTATTCTCCTGGGGGACTTCAACGCCCATGTGGGAAACGCCAGTGACACTTGGAGAGGGGTGATCGGGAAGAGCGGCCCCCTGATCTGAACCCGAACGGTGTTCAGTTGTTGGACTTCTGTGCCAGTCACAGTTTGTCCATCACGCACACCATGTTCGAGCACAAGGGTGTCCATCAGTGCACGTGGCACCAGGACACCCTAGGCCGGAGGTCGATGATCGACTTTGTTGTCGTATCATCTGACCTTCGAGCGCGTGTCTCGGACACTCGGGTAAAGAGAGGGGCGGAGCTGTCAACCGATCATCACCTGGTCGTGAGTTGGATCCGCTGGCAGGGGAAGAAGCCGGTCAGACCTGGCAGACCCAAGCGTATAGTGAGGGTCTGCTGGGAACGTCTCGCTGAGCCCCCTGTCAGACGGACTTTCAACTCACACCTCCGGAAGAGTTTCTCCCAGGTCCCGGCGGAGGGGGGGGACATGGAGTCCGAGTGGACCATGTTCTCTGCCTCAATCGCCGATGCGGCGGCTCGTAGCTGTGGTCGCAAGGTCTCTGGTGCTGGTCCCGGCGGCAACCCCCGAACCCGGTGTTGGACACCGGCAGTAAGGGATGCCGTCAGGCTGAAGAAGGAGTCCTATCGAGCCATGATGGTTCGGGGGACTCCTGAGGCAGCTGTCCAGTACCGGCAGGCCAAGCGTGCCGCGGCCCGGGCTGTTGCAGAGGCAAAAACCCGGTACTGGGAGGAGTTCGGAGAGTCCATGGAGCATGACTATCGGTCGGCCTCGAAGAGATTCTGGCAAACCATCCGGCGCCTCAGAAGGGGGAAGCAGTTCTTTGCCAACACCATGTACGGTGCGGGTGGAGAGCTGCTGACCTCGACTGGGGATATTGTCGGGCGGTGGAAGGAATACTTTGAGGTTCTCCTCAATCCCCCCGTCACGTCCTCTGTTTCAGAGGCAGAGGCTGAGGATGTTGGGGCGGATACATCCATCTCCCTGGCTGAGGTCACCAAGGTGGTTGGTAGCCTCCATGGTGGCAAGGCTCCGGGTGTGGATGAGATCCGCCCTGATTATCTAAAGTCTCTGGATGTTGTAGGACTGTCTTGGCTGACACGTCTCTGCAACATCGCGTGGCGATCGGGGGCAGTGCCAATGGAGTGGCAGACCGGGGTGGTGGTCCCTCACTACAAGAAGGGGGACCGGAGGGTGTGTTCCAATTATCGTGGGATCACACTCCTCAGCCTCCCCGGTAAGGTCTACTCCAAGGTACTGGAGAGGAGGCTACGGCCGATGGTCGAATCTCGGATCCAGGAGGGGCAGTGTGGTTTTCGTCCCGGTCGCGGAACACTGGACCAGCTCTATACTCTCCATCGGATACTCGAGGGTTCATGGGAGTTCGCCCAACCTGTCCACATGTGCTTTGTGGATTTGGAGAAGGCGTTTGACTGTGTTCCCCGGGGTGTCCTTTGGGGGGTTCTCCGGGAGTACGGGGTCGGAAGTCCTCTGCTGAGGGCCATCCCATCCCTGTATGACCGGAGCCAGAGCTGTGTTCGCATTGCCGGCAGTAAGTCAGACCTGTTCCCGGTGAATGTTGGCCTCCGACAGGGCTGCCCTTTGTCACCGGTTCTGTTCACTGTATTTATGGACAGAATATCTAGGCGCAGCCAGGGGTCGGAGGGGGTCCGGTTCGGAGACCACAGGATTTCATCTCTGCTGTTTGCGGACGATGTTGTCCTGTTGGCTCCAACGAACCAGGACCTGCAGCATGCACTGGGACGGTTTGCAGCCGAGTGTGAAGCGGCTGGGATGAGAATCAGCACCTCCAAATCCGAGGCCATGGTGCTCGACCGGAAAAAGGTGCCTTGCCCTCTGCAGGTGGGTGGAGAGGTCCTTCCTCAAGTGGAGGAGTTCAAGTATCTCGGGGTCTTGTTCACGAGTGAGGGAAGAATGGAGCGTGAGATTGACAGGCGGATCGGTGCAGCGTGCGCAGTGATGCGGTCGCTGTATCGGACCGTTGTGGTAAAGAGGGAGCTGAGCCGAAAGGCAAGGCTCTCGATTTACCGGTCAATCTTCGTTCCCTCCCTCACCTATGGTCATGAGCTTTGGGTAATGACCGAAAGAACGAGATCGCGGATACAAGCGGTCGAAATGAGCTTCTTCCGCAGAGTGGCTGGGCGCTCCCTTAGAGATAGGGTGAGGAGCTCAGTCACACGGGAGGAGCTCGGAGTAGAGCCGCTGCTTCTCCACGTCGAGAGGAACCAGTTGAGGTGGCTCGGGCATCTGTTCCGGATGCCTCCTGGACGCCTCCCTGGGGAGGTGTTCCGGGCACGTCCCACCGGGAGGAGGCCCCGCGGAAGACCTAGGACACGCTGGAGGGACTATGTCTCTCAGCTGGCCTGGGAACGCCTTGGGGTCCCCCCGGACGAGCTGGAGGAAGTGTGTGTGGATAGGGAAGTCTGGGCGTCTCTGCTTAGACTGCTGCCCCCGCGACCCGGCAACGGATAAAGCGGAAGAAAATGGATGGATGGATGGATGGATGGATGGATATATATATATATATATATATATATATATATATATATATAAAATGGTCCAAAGTGTTGTTTGATCAATGAAAGCTCTAGAAATCGCCCGCCTAAATCATTATTAGTCAGAGAGAGTTCATTCATAAATATTTATGTGAATATGCCATGAAAGCAGCATTACTTGTTTCACATTTTGATAAGAACAAATTACATATGGTTTGCGTTCACCTTGTGTGTGCAGGAGTACAGAATAAAAAAATAAATTAAAAAAATTACATTTAAGACCCAGGCTGCCTCACATATCAGCTCAATGTCTCTCTTTGTGTAAGTTCATTTGCTTCCTTTGAAACGGCATGGGACAGTTTATGCACTTCTAGAATGGGCTTAGACGAATAGGAATTGTTACAGATGGAACAGCTGAAGGGTCTTTCCCCAGTGTGTGTTCTGTGATGTGCAACAAGATAATCTTTTCGAGCAAAGGCTTTCTTGCAGATCAAACAGCTGAATGGTTTTTCACCCGTGTGTATTCGCATGTGAGCAACCAGTTCATGATGTCGGGAAAATGTTTTCATACATTTGAAACAGCTGAATTGCTTCTCTACAGGTTTTGCACTGGTCTGTTTATGAGTCTTCTTGTTTTTGTGAGACACCATGTGGCATTGAAGAAGATTGCGAGTATAAAACCCTTTCAGACAAACAGGGCATTCATAAGGCTTGTCTTCGGAGTGCTTCCTTTTATGGAATTTCAGATCGCACGTGCGTCTAAATGATTTGTTGCAGATGGTACAGGTGAACGGTTTTTCGCCTGTGTGTATAGTTGCATGTACGTCTCGATTACATTTCTGGGCAAATGTTCTTCCACAGGTTGAGCAGCTGAAGGGTCGCTCTCCGGTGTGAACTATCATGTGTCTTTTTAGCCTATAACTATTATTCATGACCTTTTCACAAAAAGGACATTTGTGTACTTTACCTTGAGCTTTCCTGGGTCCAGTCTTTACAGAGGCACTGGTTTCTGGTCTATCATCCACATGTTCAGTCAGTGCAGCTAAACAACCTACATCATTGTCTGCGCTGAAATCTGTGATGTTTTCTTCTTGTGTTTCTTCTCTGAGCTCAGTTTGTTGAAGCAGTGATGACTCTTCTGTCTTCACACTCACAGCACTGGACTCTGGAACATGCCTGAGAACCAGATTCAACAAAAGTAATACAGTTTTAAACAATAATCACTGTAGTATAAGTTAGAATGTTTCAATGGGAGGCCGATATAAGTGGATTTTATTAAGCTATGCTGGGGTTTGAGGGTTTCCTCAATTATTGTATTAGTGCTTAACAATTGCTTTTTGAGTTTTTTAATTTACATTTTTATAACATATAATATATGTTATTATTTCATTAATTTCACTTCCAAAAATATAAGATCTATCAAGAACCCATGCACTGTGTACATTGCAGCCTCCATAAGCGGCACTAAAAACATTCTTCTTCTGTAGTGGGTAGCAGAAAGACAAAACACTTTTACATGGGCAACAAGCGCTTTGCTAACGCTGTTTGCGGAAAGAATATTTCAACTTTTAATCATTGTGGTCCTTTTAACCCGAGGACAACACAAGGACGTTGTGAGACTGTCTTGGCTGATACGGCTGTCACGTCGCCTTACAATAGGAGTGAGTACCTTTTGAGCGGTGTGTTCCGATTAAAGTGAAATCACAAACTTGAGAGAGATCAAGGTCTACTTCAGGGTACTGGAGAGGAGACTAAAACCGTCCAGGGTTCCGCGGCCAGATGTGGATCTGGAGAAAGCCCTGTGTGACTGGAGGCTGTGTTTTTATGGACAGAATTTAATTTTGCTATTTGCAGACGATGTCGTCTTGTTGGCCCCAACAAACCAGGGCCTTCACCATGAACCTTCACAAAGCCACAGGTAAGAAGCTAACCCTAACCCTTCCACAAGCACAAAGGAAGCACTGGTAATCTTGGCGACATGTTTCACCTTCTAAATATTTATAATGAATATAATAATATAATGAATATGTTTTACATACATATAAATACTTTAACGCATTAGAATTTAACACATATTTTTGCAATTGTGTTTGGCCAAATTTAATTAAACCGCTAGAATGTGGCCCCCGGATAAAGTGCAAGGGCTGAGAAAAGCGTACACTGGTAGCTGCTCTTCTTCCGGTTTGATGTGCTGTTCCTCTGGCTCCTCTTTAATCTGAGTCTCTGTGGATTTCTTGTTCAGACTGATTCCTGGACTCTGGTAGGGCATCTGGGCATCTGCAGGAGGGAATAAAGAAAAAATATGTAGATTACAAAACATTCCAAAACAGCCAGAACCACACAATTTTGCAATCAAAAGTTTCAAACAGAATGTAGAAACAGGGATGATTGGCCTCTGGATGATATACATTTATGCAACAACAACAATAATCATTAAAGTAGGGCATTTATGGGCCGATTAGCACTTGTTTCTCAGAAAGAAGATCCTTGGTTCAAATCCAAGTCTGCATAGGTTTCCCTAAACAGTTTCACTAAAAACATGTATAATCCTCCAGCTCTGGTCCTGATCAAGAACATCAACATCCCTCACTTTTGAAGAGTATTATATGATAAGAGGACCAGGATACTAGCTCGTGTTTTGAAACACTGCTTCACCTGCAAATGTCATTTACAATGTGCATTTTAATCATATGCAGCTCCACAAACAACCAACAGAGAGCGCCCTTTGCATAGTTTGTTTGGGTTCATTGTCTGTGATTCATAAAGTTTCGAACTTTCCAGCGGTAACAAAACATGTTGTGAGGAATAAGCTTCTGTCTCAAACATGAAGCAGCCTCACCCGCTCTGAGCAGCATCACTCTCGGCCTCAGAGTCTCCAGCTGCTCCTGTCTCCTCTGCTTCTCTTTGCACAGCCGCAGTTCCTCCTCATATTCCGCTATCGTTCTTTCAAACAGCGCAAATATCTCCTCCGCAGCCGCCGTGAGCCGCGCAGTCACCAAAGCTCTCAGTGTTGGTCCCGCAAACATTATAACAAACTGTTTTTAGATCGAGAGCTAACACCTCGACAGAAGTGTGGCTAATGGCTAAGCTAACAACAAGCCAGGCAGGCAAACTGTGCTGCGCATGCGTCAAACATGTGCACCAAAACATAACCAGTCAGATTTGTTCTTTTGATGAGCTCTCCTTTTGTTCCAATACACGGTCTATCTATGGCACATGTGTCAAAAACATGACCATTTTTAGCCCATTAAATGATTTTCAATTACTATTCACTTGCAGCATAAATGGTAAATATGAGGTATCATGGCGTGTTGTACCTCCTTTTAAAGACACACGTTTATGTATAAAATGTATATTCAGAAAACTAATAACAAAGTGGTTCTAACACATTTTATATGAGATATAATAACAAAATCAGAAATTTCAGGGACCAAATGTAATATTTTAATTTCAAATTACACATACATATCCATCTTTTATGTGTCCTCAGATAATAGGTAGCCCTCAGTTGGGTTACCAATTTCATAAGTGAAATTCTGCATATCTTTTAATAACAAAATATGCCATTTAAATTAAAGCAGGTACAACTAATGTATAGACAGTTTGTGTTGTTTCTAACTAAACCCCAGCAGGTGGATTGCATCTATAATCACCTCTTAGGAGCTACTTGGGTCACATGCAGTCAGAGCAGAATGAATCACCTCTACATACAGTATGTCCATATGTTACAACATTACATTTAAAAGCAGGGATGTATTCTGTCACTAAATACAGCTTCACTGTTCCAGCTGAAAGAGCAGTTAAGGTAAAAAATAAAATAAAAAAATCAGGCATGGTTATGCTGATCCACCAAAGAATGTGATAAATGATATACTACTTTAATAGTTTAAATGAAAGCTCCATTACCAGTTGATGATAAACAAAAGAAACACAAAGACACCAAGATGTCCAATATCTATATGCCACTAGTAATCAACCTCTTGTAACCAAATAGGGGAAATGTTGGAATTAGAAAATGAGTAAACATTGTGTGGCTCATGTTTGTTAACTTCAACAAATTTTCATTTTTGAACATTTTCATTTTTGAAGTTAAACATCCTGTTGAACTAAGTGTGACAAACGGGAGAAAGACCCGACTCCTCTGTGTGTCATTTTATGGTTATTCAGATCACACAATCGTTTAAATGAGGAGTTGCATATTGAACAAGTGAATAGTCTTCCACCTGTATGCAATTTTAAATGAACATTTCGATGAATTTTTTGGGTAAATCTTTTTCCACAGGTTGAACAGCTGAAGGGTCGCTCTCCGGTGTGAATTACAATGTGCCTTTTCAGTCTGTAACTATTCTTCATCACCTTATCACAATAAGGACACTGGAATCCGTTTTGAGCAGTGGTTTCTCTGGCTCTGAGCTGGACTTGGTGGTAGTGGTCTCCGTCAGCCTCTGTCTCCATCTGTGCAGCTGAACAGCTGAATGAAGCCATGTGGTTTTCAACATTGTTAAAGTCGGAAAAGTTTCCCTCCGTCTGAGGCAAGAAAAATGTGTCTGTGCTGAAGTCTTCTCCCTGTGTTTCTTCTCCGAGTTCAGTTTGTTGAAGCAGTGACGAATCCTCGGTCTTCCAACAAGCAGCACTGGACTCTGGGACAGGCCTGAGAATCATATTCAATAAAAGTAGTTTTAGTCAATCATCACATTTTAAGGTCTGACCAGTGTGTGAAAACCAAAATTAAAAAAAAGATCTGGTAACTGATCTAGCGACTGGATTCAAGCTTATAATTAATTAGGTATGACATGAGCTGTAGTTGACGATGACTTTGATAATTTTTGTTTAGGCTCTTAATGACTACTTTGTGCTAGTGTGATCTGTTTCAGTTCCCAGTAACTTTAACTAAATATCCGGTACCATTATGCCATTATGTAATTTGAAAGAAACATTAAGACCAAAATTAGAGCCCAAACTATCCGTAAAGTACTCTAGCGCGCTAATATTACACACAACAGAAATTACTGCATGACGCAAAAAACCAGGCACAGCAACATGCTAACTTTGCAAGAAACTTAAAGCACATGAGATCCCACCATGCAGACACGCACCTGAAACACCAGCACTTTACTGTGGCTAAAAACGTTATATTTTAATAAAATGTAAAGTTTGTTTTCAACTTCAAGTTAAGCCCCCCCTAGCCTGGCTCTCGCCAGACCCTTGTAGTTCCGCCATGCTCCACCAGAGACGTTTCGTTTCACGCACAAAAGTCTGGGATCAAGCGCATAGCAAACTCTTTCAGCAGATGAGAAAATAATCGACCAATCAGGATTGCGGTGTAACGCCGGGTTTGCACCGCCTTCTCAATCGTGTCTCACGCAGTGAGGGCGGGTTTCGGCTCAAAAGTGGCCAAAATGACGTGCGCTGATATGCTTGCAATACCACCCCGGGCCGATGGGGGTGGACCCAGAAGTAGAATTAGCCAATGCTAACATATAGCATTGGCAGACCTCTCGAAAACGTCTTCACAGGATGGTCCAAAAGTTGGCTCTTGGCCCAAAGCTCCGTTCCACATGTGTGTCAATGCTGAGGGGGGTGGATTTTTTTGGTCCACTCTAGTTTACCTGCTGTGAATTTTTGAAGTCTCTCGTTCAAATGAATGGAGCTCTCGCCAGCTGACGCATGCGCAGATGCGTTTTTCACAATTTTCTTGTGGGCGGGACCACTTGTGACCATTTTGGAAAGCTCCAGTACAATTTTTGGCCCATTAGTTAGAACGGCGGAGATAGGCGTGACTGTCCGTTAATATATACAGTCTATGGTCTCACGCGGTAGCGAAAGCAATCCAAGATGGCGGACGTAAAGTCTGTGAATTAAAAAAAAAAGTTTAAATACTAACGAATTAAGACACGGATGTCACTTTTAATGCAATATGAGATGTTGATGGTTCCATGTTATATGTGTATTTTAAAAGTCAAATGTTCGTGTAAAGTTTGGTTTAAGCACTGGTTTAGGTGTTCCTGTTTACAACACTATGCAGCAGGGTTGCCAGGTTGGGTGGTTTCCTGCATACTTTTTCCAAGAGACTTGTAGGTAATTAATAAACAAAGACAATAAACAAAATCATGGTTTGGGTGGTTTTTTTTGGGCATTCTCACGGATTTTGCCGGCATTTGGCAACCCATGGGAGTCGTGTGCTTCGATGTGAGTGGTTGAAGGAAGACATCATTCAAGATAACGGACAAGTGGTTTGTCCAATCACATTCAAGGATTTTTTTAACAAGGCCCCACCTTCTGAAATCCAACTGCTATGGCTCAGACCCAGACCCATGTGAGAAGAGCAGCGATCTACAAGGGTCTGGCGAGAGTCAGGCTAAGCCCCACCCACATGTTGGCCACAATCTACATCTATTCTTGGGTTTCATATGACATCAAGGCAGTAGCGCAAATGACATACGTGGGACAGGACCGAACCGGACGTGACGTACCCTGGCGGTGCAGTCTGCCGGGTACATACAAGGAGCTATAGTAGAGAAAAAGCGATGTCAAAATTCCATCTTTTTGTGCGGTGTACGGTTGTAGCAACCACACGAATAGAGAAAGACAAGAGTTTCTTCCATGTTCCAAATGTCTCAAATAAAAGGAGAACACACAAAAAAAATAAAATAAAATAACATAAAATCACTCGAATGAGGCGGATCAACGCTTTCCCAGATAAGGGCAGGCCACCCGAATGAAACGCAGCAATTGCTTCCGTTATTTTTTCCAAATATGCCTGAAATCAAGACTGTTACAACAACCGTACACCGCACAGGATGAGAGCCTTTTTACTCCAAAACAGACACGATTTACATGGTTTTCAATGGGAGCAAAACTTGAGTTGTCCCATCTCTGCTCATTTCCCCCTACAGGCCAGGTTAATGAAACCCAAGAATAGTCAAATCAATTGTGTCGTACTCTGGCAGCTGCTCCCATATTATGCTCTGTTCTTCTGGCTCCTCTTTAATCTGTGGGGTCTCTTGGATTTCCTGGTTTAGACCGGGGCCTGGACTCTGGGAGGACGTTTGGGCATCTGCAGGAGGGAATAGAAAAAAAAAAGATAAAGACAAAAAAAAACATACAATGACAGCTCCCTCGTTCCTACTTCAACACCTCCTAAAATTCAATGTGCACCACGTCAGACCTTTCCCGAGACCCACAAAGCACCCATGCACACTGATATTTCTTGTTTTATATTTTAGACAGATGCAGTTCCACACACAGCAAATGTAAGTCCCATTTTTACTAGCCCTACTCTACTCACCCCTTTTTATTGGTACTAACGACTTTTTAGTACCTGCTTTGCCCTAGTTCTATCCAGTTTAAGCTGGTACTAACGTTCTCCAACTGATATTGATTGGGCAAAGTGTTGCTGGAAGCCATGGCTCCCAAGGAATTTCCCTGGACATTGGTTTGTTTGTTTGCTGTGAGTAAGTAGCGGATAAGGTACCAGATACGAACGTACACGATCATGCAGAGTAGAACAGAAGATAGAAGGGCCAAGGACTGATGGAAAGAGGGAGAGATGTTTGCGGAATTTAGTGTTTCAAAGCTTTGTTTCTGATTCGGGAGGTTTCGAGCAAATACGCTTCTGTCTCGATCATGAAGCAGCCTCACCCGCTCTGAGCAGCATCACTCTCGGCCTCAGAGTCTCCAGCTGCTCCTGTCTCCTCTGCTTCTCTTTGCACAGCCGCAGTTCCTTCTCATATTCCGCTATTGTTCTTTCAAACAGCGCAAATATCTCCTCCGCAGCCGCACTGAGCCGTGCAGTCACCAAAGCTCTCAGTGTTGGTCCCACAGACATTTTAACAAAGTGTTTTTAGAACAAGGGCTAACACCGCGACAGTGTGGCTTCCGCATCAACAAGCTAGGCACGCAAACTGTCTTCTCTTCTTCTTGGTGTTTTACGGCGGTTGGCAACCAGCTTTTAGGAGCATTACCGCCTCCTACTGTTCCGGAGTATGGGTCATACAGTGAACTTACAATCTACAACAACCCAAAGTAAATAAAAAAAAAAAAATAATAATAATAATAATAATAATAATAATAATAAAACACCACACACACTACTACCTACACTCTATCAAAAACCCCTATCTCCTTTAAAAAACCCACAAGTTCCCTTATCTGTGCCCTACTACCCTCCAACACACTCTTCAAACTGAACTCCCCAACACCCAGCTCCTTCATCCTACTCTTCAGAGCTTCTCTCTCTGCATCATAGCCCTTACACTGTAAGAGCACATGCTCTACCGACTCCTCCGACTCCTGACACGCTCCACAAAGCCCTGTGCCATGTTCCCCTATCACCCGTAATGTTTTGTTCATTGCGCAATGTCCCAGTCTAAGCCTTGTGACGACCACCTCTTCCCTCCTATTACCCCTATGCACCCCAACCCCTGTCACCTCCTTCTTAAGATTATACAAATGCCTACCCTTAACCCCAGAATCCCACCGCTGCTGCCACTCCTGAACTACCTGCCTCCAGACTATACTCTTTGCTTCGGATTTACTGCTTTTAATTCCCATCTCAACCCTGCTGCTATTCAAAGCTCCTTTCGCCAATCTATCCGCTCTTTCATTTCCACTGACTCCTACATGTGCCGGCACCCAAAGAAAGTGAACCATGCTGCCCCTACACCTTATTCTGCTTAATGTAACCAAAATATCATATAGCATACCCTGCCTCGTCTTAGAACAAAATGATTGTACACTTGACAGAACCGCTGCAGAATCAGAGCACACTACCACTCGACTACTTTTTGAATGTTCAATCCATTTCAACGCTATCAAAATTGCTGCCATCTCAACTGTATACACCGCCAGTCCACGCAAACTGTGCTGCGCATGCGTGCAGCTGGGTCTAAGCTCATTTTTGTGCATAGGAGATCCTGGTTTGGTCCAATAAGGTAAATTAATAGTACCTTCGCAAAAACAGATGAATGCCATTAGAAAAATACAGGCTTATAATTTGCACTTTGCCATGTAGATTTAGGAAAGCCAGGTCGATTTTAGTGCTATACAAATTAAGTTTCACCCAAGACAGGGCAAATTCTTTCACATTTATTGCAGACATTTTTTCAAGACTGAGATGTTTTTGCAAAGAAATTATGCCTACAATTTTAATGGAACCAGTGTCATAGTCTTTATGATTAATGTTTACTTAGTTTTATTCCCCTAATTTCTTTAGTGTTGCTACAGTTTTGTTTTTTTGTTTTTTTTTTTTTTTATTAATTTATTTGACAGGGACAATGTAGTCATACATAGTTACATTATGAAAATGCAGCTGATGCGACACATACAGAGTGTATAGCTAATGCTAATTTTCAACTCCTGTCCCTGGTTCAAAGTTAAAAGGTAGTCTTTTTGCTGTTACACAGAGGATATCTAATATTCATAGAACCAAGGTATGGAATATGTTACAAAAACACATTTTAAATCAGTTATTACGTATTCTGTATCTATTCCCACCAATCTTGGGTCAAAAATTAGGCATATAATTATAGGGATGTGTCAGTTGTATACTACTGTACTTTAATGGTATAAAATAATTCTGCAGGTTTGAAAATCAGATACACCGATATGTCCAATGTTTATATGCTGCACCGCGCATAAACATAGTCATAGCACTTATTGTAATAAGACATTCGCAATCATTTGGGGTAATCACATGTGGATTTTTTTCATAATACACATCTTTCATATCTTTTCAAAGAAATGTTTATTTTTGAAGTAAAAAATCCTGACAAATTGTGATAAACGGGAGAAAGACCAGACTCCCCAGCTGCAAAAATGTTTAAATGAGGAGTTACATATTTAATAGAGGAATAGTCCTGTATGTAGCCACAGTGGGATGGATGTAAAGTGCCAAACTGTTGTTGTGTCATTTCACCCACATTGCCGCTCCACAAAACAAGTCTGTTGTGTGAGTGAATGGTTGGTGGTAATTGGAGGCGCCAATGGCACACACTGGTTGCCTCACTTCTGCCTGTGTGCCCCAGGGCAGCTGTGACATAGCTACAATATTAGTTTATCACCACAGTGTATGGAGTGAATGAATGTCACGTGAAGCGTCTTTGAGTGTCCAAAAAAGTGCTAGTGGCTAATAAAACCGATACATTATCATTATTATAGGAACATTTTGATAATCTCACATGTACATCCCGATTACTTTTTTGTGAAAATCTTTTTCCACAGGTCGAACAGCTGAAGGGTCGCTCTCCGGTGTGAACTACAATGTGTCTGTTAAGTTTATACCTATTCTTCATCACCTTTTCACAATAAGGACACTGAAACCCCCTCCCCCGAGATCCTGGGCCTGTTCCTCTGAAGTATCCAGTGTTTACAGATGCACTGGTTTCTGGTCCATTATCCAAATACAAGTTTGAACTGTAGTTTTGAGAAGTGGTTTCTCTGGCTCTGAGCTGGACTTGGTGGTAGTGGTCTTCGTCATCCTCTGACTTAATCTGGGCAGCTGAACAGCTGAATGAATCCATGTGGTTTTCAACTTGGTTAAAGTCAGAAAAGCTTTCCTCCTCCTGAGGCAGGAAAAATGTGTCTGTGCTGAAGTCTTCTCCCTGTGTTTCTTCTCTGAGCTCAGTTTGTTGAAGCAGTGACGACTCTTCTGCCTTCATACTGGCAGCGCTGGACTCTGGAACAGGCCTGAGAATCATATTTAATAAAAGTGAAGAAGTTTTAGACAATAATCACGATAGTTTTTGACAGCAAACATGTCATATGTTTAAGGCCTGACCACTGTGTGAATGCCTATTCTGCAAAACTCAAATAAGATTGGAATGTAAACAAGAATGTAACAACAAATGAGGAACGGCACGAGCTGGTGGTCTGAAAATAAAAGACACGTATGCAAGTGCATGCCATTATTATTAATGTGCACAAAATTAAAATTAAAGCTGCATCACCTCACTTTATTTTTGCATTCATTACAAAAATTAAATCCATATCCATGCAGTGCATTGGGATATACGTTCTTTTGAAGAAAAAGTAGCGCAGATTTGTTCAGTGTTCAGATATTGTTCCAATCATTCCACACACGGTGATGACGGAAGCGAGTCGCTGAACACACTGGCGCATCAGCCCCCAATCAACACAATCCATTCACTTCTACCTATTGTGCATGTTTTTAGTGGTAGGGGAAACCGGAGCACCCGGAGGAAACCTACGCAGACACAGGGAGAACATGCAAACTCTACTCAGAATAGTGGAGCTCTGATAGCTCTGGGGGTGCGGGGAGTGCAAGCAGAAAGAGCGAGGCCAGCGCTCACATTAGAAAATAATACATAGTGAGTTAGTGCAGCTTTAATCATTCAATCATATTTTAAATGAGTAGTACTCTGGCAGCTGCTTTTCCTCCTGTTTGTTCCTGCTGATGCTCCGCTCCTCTGGCTCCTCTTTTATCTGTGGAGTCTCTTGGATTTCCTTGTCAAGACAGAGAACTGGACTCGGAGGATGCAACTGGTCCTCTGCAGGAGGGAATGGAAGACATGAAAGAAAGACAAACATCATTTATGTTAAGGTAGAAATATTAAAGATTTTCATGTCAAGTCATTAAATGGCCCTGATTATCGTTATCGTTTTCATTTTGATGTCCCGCCTAAAACATTTGAAGATTTTAGAAAATCAGAAAGTTTGAAAATCTCACTAGTAAAATAACTAAAAAAGGTATCGTTATGATTCTCAAATCATTAATAAAAAAACAAGGAATAAAACTGGGAGTTGAATCTTTGTAAAAAAAAGGAAAGGGTTAGAGATTTGTTGTTGACAAAACTCTTGTCTATTCAGTTATTATGCTCCTAGCTGGATTCGTCTGCATATCTTGCAACCTGAGTCAGGGAGAGTGGGAGAGGTTGCAGTACCACTTTCAGCCAGATTTTTACATAAGGCTCCTTTAAGGGTGGAGGAATGACCTAAAGGACATATTACACACCAGAGTAACTGCATGGCCACATGGGAAGAGCTCTCCTCTTTTCCACATAAAGCGGTAGCTAAAGAGGGATTCGGACACCTGTTCAGAGTGTCCTACGCCAGGATCCTGTTTGTGGACTTCAGCTCTGCCTTCAAAATCATCCCGCCATCCCTGCTCCAGGACAAGCTCAACGTGCCCGATTCCACCTGCAGGTTCCTGACAGACAGGAAGCAGCGAGTGCACCTGAGCTGTGTTCTTTCATCAAGTTCACCCTCATTGGACTCATTGGACTCATCTCCAACAACGATGAGTCCGCCTACAGAAGGGAGGTGGACCGGCTGGTGTCCTGGTGCAGTGGGAACAACCTGGAGCTGAACGCCCAGAAGACAGTGGAGTACTTCAGGAAGTAAGTGAGTAAGTAATCTTTATTTATATAGCGCTTTTCACTGACCAGAGTCACAAAGCGCTTTACAATTGTTATTTTTGGGAATTTGTCCTCTCACTCCACACAGACAGGGAGTGAGATCGCCAGTACAGGTGCCAGGCCTATTGTACATGTTTTTATAGTGGTAGGGGAAACCGGAGTACCCGGAGGAAACCTACACAGACACAGGGAGAACATGCAAACTCCACTCAGAAAGGTCCTGTTCCAACCGGGATTTGAACCCAGGACCTTCTTGCTGGAAAGCGAGAGTGCTATCCACTCAGCCACCGTGCCGCCCAAGAAGAAGGAAGAACACAGTCACCCCGCCCCCACCCTCCGTGATGGACTCCCCCATCACTTCTGTGGAGTCCTATCGTTTCCTGGGCACCACCATCACCCAGGACCTCAAGTGGGAGCCGACCATCAGCTCCCTCATCAAGAAGGCCCAGCAGAGGATGTACTTCTTGCGGCAGCTCAGGAAAGCCAAGGCATCTAGGCAAGATTGCCTAGAATGAGTCTGGTGTGTGCGTGAATGGTTGATGGTGGTCAGAGGGGCGGTGAGCACATTCCAGGGCAGTTGTGGCTATAGTAGTATTTATCACCACTGTGTATGGAGCGAAAAACCAATATATTATTACTATTATCACCGTCTGGTTCGCTGGAGTCTACAGCCCATTGCTCCAAGACGCTCAAGCTGGAGGCCAGGCTGGTCGTATCACAGCCGACCCATCTCACCCGGCACATGGACTGTTCCAACCCCTTCCCTCAGGCAGAAGGCTTAGATAAGATAGACTTTATTGATCTCACACAGGAGATATTTTCTTGTCACAATTGGCATGGATAAAAACACTCAGATTGAGCTAAAGACAGAAGGGTGCAGCTACATGTAAAGGTTAAAAATATAGTTTGTGCAGGATATAATTATGTACAATAATAATAATAATAAAAAGTGGCATAAGCAGTGCAGGTTTTTTTTAGTGCACTATGGTCCATTCGGACCAGATTCCCTCTGCTTTTCGACTCATTAACACTTCATAACCTGTCCCCTGCCCTTTATAAGACACTTTACTGCTCTCACCTTACAGCACTACTGCACTGCGGTGCTAACTGCATATTGTGTGCACGAAGTGTAGTTGTATATTGTATATAGTAAATTGTAATCATTTACCGAGAGCCAAAGCAATTTCCTAGTTACTAATATGGCAATAAAAATGATTCTGATTCTGAGGTCCAACTGGAGGTAGTATGTCGCACAGCTGGCCTGGGCCCAGTTCTGGGTTCCCTTGGATCAGATGGAGGAAGTTTATATTAGGCTCAAGAATTCTTGCGTATTTGCGTATTGGGAAGGGAGACGTTCATCTAATCACATGAAGTTCCGCCAACATCCACCAGAAAGCGCTAGTTTTTCGAAGAATTGTTACTGATTCATTAGGTTTAAAAATGTATTGTAAGGAATAAGTCTACATTCTAAAACATGAGGCTCACCCGCTCTGAGCAGCATCACTCTCGGCCTCAGAGTCTCCAGCTGCTCCTGTCTCCTCTGCTTCTCTTTGCACAGCCGCAGTTCCTCCTCATATTCCGCTATCGTTCTTTCAAACAGCGCAAATATGTCCTCTGCAGCCGCCGTGAGCCGTGCAGTCACCAAAGCTCTCAGTGTTGGTCCCACAGACATTTTAACAAACAGTTTGGAACAAGAACTAACACCGCGACAGAGTGAAGCTAACAGATAAGGAAACGACAACAAAAGGAGAAGGCTGACCAGCTGCTCTCTGCTCTGCACCACTGACTCCGCGCTTCTCCTTCTTTTGTGTTTACGGCGATGGGCAAAGAACCATTTGATGTGCATTTACCGCCACCCTCTGGACTGGAGTGTCATTCGATTAGTTTAGTTTTTCCCAAATACATAACTTCTCTATCTGCTGTACTTGCTGAGTGAAAACCTACGATCTGAAGATTAAACTGTATTTTCTTCTCCTTCGATTTTTCTTGCATCACTTATCTCCCTTCGGACAACTCTTTTTCCCTGCCCACATAAACGCAGTCTTGTTGGATGTTTCCCTATTCTAAACAATGTACTATATTTTACCCTGTATGATCAAACCTCATTCTTGAAATTACATCTTTTCCTGATGTCCTCATCTTTCCCACTTGTTTGTGAATACTACACAAATGCCTTCCTTTTTGCTTACAGCTCCATAACATCTGCCAGTTCCTCATAGTTTATCCCTTTACAATCCCCTTTATCTCGAATTTACAATGAGAAACTGGCCGGCTAACCTTCCTCCTCTTTATAGACTGCTTTGCACAACTTTCTGTCAACTCATTCCTTCTACACCTACATGAGCAGGGGCCCACACAAATCCCAACCTACTCCCTGCTATTTTCATTCTAAACTGCAACGTCAAAATTTCTGCTATAATATTCAGCCTAGACTCAGATTTTCTTTATATAATACAATTTATTCTTGTATAGCCCTAAATCACAACAGTAGTAATTTCAGAGGACTTAACAAAACCGTTGAAATCACCAAAACAAATCAACAGTTAAGACACAAAAATATAGAACACATGTTGATAAATGTCCATACATGTTGTAGAATGTTAAAGTGTCCTGGATCATCCTTTTTGTTAGACACTAACTGTCCAACAGACCCTCCTGTATCGGCAAGAAAAGACTAAAACCCAGTGGGAGAAAAGTGAGAAACCCCAGTTGTTGCAAATGTGCTATACAAATAAAGTTGACATTGACAATGTCCAGCTGTTTTAAAAGACGAGTGGAAAGAATTGCATTCCTATTCCACAACAGCACATACCCAAACCGAGTGGAATCATAGAAATTACCCATGGGGCTCAGGTTTCAGATCTCAGACTCAGGGTGAACTAAAAGTTGACTTATTTCACATTGCTAACATGAATGGACTGACTGAACAGAGGTCAATGTTCTGGGACCGCTTTATGCATATAGCAGGATGTTTTGTTTTATTTCCCGACTACAAACTCACTTGAACAGAACACAGAAATACCAGTTACAAGTGGAAGGACTTTGATCGTATATAAATATTTGAGTGTACCTCGATTGCACAAAGTAACTGAATAAATTCCAAATTCCAAGCATGGATTCACTTTTCCATCCAAATAATATAGCTATCTACAAATTATATTCATTTAGAGTGAACAATCCTTTCAAACAAACTAAGTCTTACGGGTGAAAGACCTGACTTCTGTCATGTCTTCTGAGTGTGTCATTTTGTGGTACTTCAGATCATACAATCGTTTAAATGCTAAGTTACATAATGAACAGGGGAATAGATTTTCGCCTGTATGTGATCTTGCATGTACATCTCGATTACTTTTTTGGGTAAATGTTTTTCCACAGGTCGAACAGCTGAAGGGTCGCTCTCCGGTGTGAACTACAATGTGTCTTTTTAGTTTAGAACTATTCTTCATCACCTTATCACAATAAGGACAAGAGACCCCCTTCCCCTGAGCTCCTTGGACTGTTCCTCTCATGTGTCCAGTGTTTACAGATGCACTGGTTTCTGGTCCATTCTCCAAATACAAGAGTGGGCCGTAGTTTTGAGCAGTGGTTTCTCTGGCTCTGAGCTGGACTTGGTGGTAGTGGTCTCCGTCAGCCTCTGTCTCCATCTGTGAAGCTGAACAGCTGAATGAATCCATGTGGTTTTCAACTTGGTTAAAGTCAGAAAAGTTTCCCTCCGTCTGAGGTAAGAAAAATGTGTCTGTGCTGAAGTCTTCTCCCTGTGTTTCTTCTCCGTGTTCAGTTTGTTGAAGCAGTGACGACTCTTCCGTCTTCCAACAAGCAGCATTGGACTCTGGGACAGGCCTGAGAATCATATAAAAAGAGTTTTGGACAATTATCACACTAGTATTCACACGGTCAATGTCAAGTTTTATATAGCACATTTTAAATCCATCCATCCACTTTCTACTCCTTAATCCATTTCTGGGTTGGGGGGGCAATCAGAGATGCCACCCAAGTCACAGAGCACCAGCCCCTCACTGATCCTCCTGCAGGTGAGGACACAGCGACAGTAGACGTCAGTGGGAGTTGGTGGAGAAGGTCTCGCGGTGGGCTCAAACCCAACTGAGCTACTGTCAAATGCATTCCAGACACTACAAAATACAACACAACACAAATAAATACAGCATAAAATAAAATACAGGTCCACCATCACTAAAGTTTCATTATTGCTTGAGTTTAAAAGCAATAGCATTTCTTTGCTCTGGTTCTTTCAAGCCAGAGCGAAGAAATGTGTTTTAAGCTGTGATTTAAAGCTCTCTAAAGAGGGGGCAGCTCTGAAACAATAAGGCAGAGCGTTCCAGAGTTTGGGCCCTGCCACAGCAAAGGCTCCGTCTCCTTGCCGAAGAAGTTGGTGGTAGGACCTCAGTGCTCTTCCTGTGCCCAAAAGTAAAATGTTACAAATCATTTGAGCACAACCAAAATGCATTATTAATCCAAGGGAAGATGTGGATACCCTAGCTTTAATTCAGTAAGTTTTACTTCAGGAGACACAGTGGAAGACACGGAATCTTCCTGTTATTGTCAAAAAAGTACCAGCTGCATAACATGCACTTATCTTGTCACATTGTGGCCAGTCTGTGCTTCTCCTCACTTTGAACTGAGGTGTGGCATTTCCAGGGAGAGCTAAATTCTGTAGGCCTTTTACAAGTACAAGGTATTATTGAATGATACATTTTGGCTCCTGGCTTGTTTTGTAAACTTGTTTTGAAACTAAAAACAACAAATTGTCAAGTGAATCAATCAAATGTAGTTTAAATGAGTCGTACTCTGGCTGCTGCTTTCCCTCCTGTTTGATGCTCCGTTCCTCTGGCTCCTCTTTAATCTGTGGGGTCTCTGGGATTTGCTGGTTCAGACTGATGCCTGGACTTCGGGAGGGCATATGGGCATCTGCAGTAGGGAAAAGAGAAATAAGATAAAGGACAAAGAGATTTTCCACTTCCATTATCACTTATGTCATGAGCTTAATGACATAAAAGACAAGTACAAGTACACGCCTGAGTGGCTGACCCCTCTCTTTACAGAAAAGGTGAGGAGCTCAGTCACATGTTGTTGAGCTGGAAGACGTGTACATTGTACATTTAGCAGCTATACATTTGGTCATAAAAAATGTTTTCAAACTCAAACAGAAATGATTATTTTTCGCTCATGTCTGAGAGCATTGTAGTCCAACTTAGAACAGACAAGTTCAATCCTCTAATGAAAAGCAGAAGGATTTCAGATCTGTCTCAAACATGAAGCAGCCTCACCCGCTCTGGGCAGCATCACTCTCGGCCTCAGAGTCTCCAGCTGCTCCTGTCTCCTCTGCTTCTCTTTGCACAGCCGCAGTTCCTCCTCATATTCCGCTATCGTTCTTTCAAACAGCGCAAATATCTCCTCCGCAGCCGCCGTGAGCCGTGCAGTCACCAAAGCTCTCAGTGTTGGTCCCACAGACATGTTAACAAAATGTTTTTAGCTCCAACTCCGAGCGAACAATAAGGCAGAAGTGTTGCTAACGGCTAAGCTAACAACTGTAAACTGGCCGGCGAGCTGATCTGCGCATGCGTAACTATTAAACTAACTAGGGTTAGTTTAACCCTAGTTAAACTTCAGCCACTGCCAAAAACATAACCAAACATAGCTGACATACGTTTTATAATATCTTATTTGCTAAATATATTGAAACGCAAATTTTCCCAGGTTGGCAGTGGTTTGTTAGTCCTCATTGTTCACTGTACGGTCTGAAAGCAGAAGGAAGGAAAGACCTGTGGAACCTCTCCTTCATGGCAGTCCTGGTCCGGCATAGATAGGGACAGCCCAGGACAGAGCTGGACTTCCTGATGACCTTGTCCAGTTTCTTTCTGTCCCTCTCTGTGATGATGATGCTCCAGCAGACCACAAAATAGATATACAAGGTATAATGCTCTTGTTAATCCAATTTTAAGGAATATTTAACACAAGTTTGTTTACATAATACAAAATATTTTACAGAAACCAAAGGACTGCACTTAATGCTTAGATCACAGGTTTTTATTCAGAAACAATAGCCGTCAGTTTAATTCGGCTCCTTGTTTGGCTCACCATATTTAAAAACAATCATATGATGAGACAATACCTTGTTATGTTGAATAAGATTAAAATGAGCCTATGAAACGCTTCAAAACACTGGCATAGTTGATACACAAAGCAAGCAAAGGCAGCCGTGTCCGAGAAAATGTAGGTACCCCAGCTTTGATTTAGCGAGTTTTAGTTGCGCTTCGGGGAGACACGGGGGAGACATGGACACTCCCTGAGGCTCCATAGTCCAGCAATTTCTTGCAAAAGTGTATTTATTGCGTATACAGTTTACGCAAAAACACACACTTGAAACGAACAGGGAATGGTCTTGTGTGTGCATGTTTGGTCTGCGATGGGTACATTATGACCACGTTATGGCTACGTGCTCGCTGCGCTTTCAAAGCGGTGAGCGCTGGAGGCGGGAACCACAGTCATTACAAAGCAACCGCAGTTTCTCCGGGATCAGATTGCTGCCAGAGAACGCAGAATCCCGTTCGAGTACGTACAGCAAACAACATTGCACCACACCCACTTAGGGGTGCTCCCCACTATTTGAGAAGGACTGGTCTATGTGAAGTACGCAAAGGCTTACTTGACTCAAATGATAGTACGCATTTCTGATTTTTGTAGCGCATGCGTACATGCATACTAGTTATGTACAGCCCTGGACATTTAGACCCTTATAGACCATAATTTTTGGGGGGTTTTTTCTACTCGTAAATCACTGGGGCAGGTCATTTTTACCAGAGACTCTAATTAAGTAGAAAATGTATTCATATAAATTGTCACACACCGAAGAAAGGCCTGTCTAATGAATGAGTCAGTTTATGATGTTTCAGATCACACTTTCTTTTAAATGATGAGTTACAGATTGAACAGGTGAATTGTCTTTCACCAGTGTGTAATCTTTCATGTACATCTCGACTACTTTTTTGGGTAAATGATTTTCCACAGGTTGAACAGCTGAAAGGTCGCTCTCCGGTGTGAACTACAATGTGTCTTTTTAATTTATACCTATTCTTCATGACCTTTTCACAAAATGGACACTGGAACCCCTTCCCCTGAGCTCCTCGGACTGTTCCTCTCATGTGTCCAGTGTTCACAGATGCACTGGTTTCTGGTCTATTATCCAAATACAAGTGTGTGCCACAGTTTTGAGTAGTGGTTTCTCTGGTTCTGATCTGGACTTGGTGGTAGTGGTCTACGACAGCCTCTGCCTCCATCTGTGCAGCTGAACAGCTGAATGAATCCATGTGGTTTTCAACATGGTTAAAGTCAGAAAAGTTTCCCATATCTTCCTCTGTATCCGACAGGAAATATGTCTCTGTACTGAAGTCTTCTCCCTGTGTTTCTTCTCTGAGCTCAGTTTGTTGAATCAGTGACGGCTCTTCTGTCTTCAAATACAGAGCATTGGACTCTGGGACAGGCCTGAGAATCATATTCAATGAAACGAAAACATTAAATTTAGACAATAATCACACTAGTATATTGATAAATGTAACAACAAATGATATGTGGCACAGGATTGGTAAAAGATTTAAACCAAAGTGCCCCTCATACATCAATCTGGGTTTTCAAATTTGGTGGGGCATGGACAGGAGGAGCTAAATCCTGTAGGTGCATGGCATTATTATTATTGTTGATATTTAACAACATTTTATCAAATGAATTAAATGGTTGTGGTTCAGATGAGTCTTACTCTGGCAGCTGCTCTTGCTCCTGTTTGATGCTCTGTTCTTCTGGCTCCTCTTTAATCTGTGGAGTTTCTGGGATTTTCTGGTCCAGATCAAGGCCTGGACTCCGGGAGGGACTCTGGGCATCTGCAGGAGAGAATAGAGAAAAGCATATAATTTCAGACAATAATCCTGCTAGTATGTCAGAAAACTTGTCATGCTTAAACCGTTCTCACTCGTCCAAGAAGTTGCATACTTAACATTTTTTTTTTTAACTGAAGTTAAACAAAAATGATTTAATTAAATTTCGCCAGGATCCGTAGTGAAAAGTATGTAAGAAAAGAAACAAATGACAAGGAACTGGCCTACGAATTTCGGCACATAGGGCCTTCTTCAGGGCCTGTACCGTGGGATTTTTGTTTTCTGTTGAAAGATATTATATTGTAAGAAATTAGCTTGTCTTATTCATGAAGCAGCCTCACCCGCTCTGAGCAGCATCACTCTCGGCCTCAGAGTCTCCAGCTGCTCCTGTCTCCTCTGCTTCTCTTTGCACAGCCGCAGTTCCTCCTCATATTCCGCTATCGTTCTTTCAAACAGCGCAAATATCTCCTCCGCAGCCGCACTGAGTCGTGCAGTCACCAAAACCCTCAGCGTTTGTCCCGCAGACATTTTAACAAACCAATTTTTTACACAAACACCGAGCGAACACCACGGCAGAAGTGTAGCTAATGGCTAAGCTAACAACAACAAAGACACACTAGCTGTTATGCGCATGCGTGGGTCTTAAGACCTTTCTTACCGCCACCTACTGGATCAGAAGCGTGCGACATTATACTTTTGTCTGTCACTTAGTACAAAATTATTGTTCTGCCCTTTGAGCTTTTTGTCATTAACTTTAAGCTTTCATTTTGGTGTTACACAGCCCGAAAAAAGCCCGTTTCCACCAGCCCTTCTTGGTCCTACTCATGGTCCAACTCTATTCGGCTCTACTCTTCCCCCTCCAGACCGAGTCCTTCTTTAGTCAATCTCAAACAATAACAAAAATAAAATAAAATAGAGTCTGCAACATTAGCATAACAAAGAAGCAAAAATAGATGGTTCAGTTGAGGTAGCTTGGCAATCTTTAGATAAAGAAACAGTTTCCACAGGGGTTGAAAGAAGTACACTCGTTGAATCAGATTACTCGAGCGTCTGATTTGTCACAGATCGTACAGGTGTATGGTTTTTCGTCTGTGTGTATAATTATATGTGCGTCATGATTTTATTTTTTGGAAAATGATTTCCCACAGGTTGAACAGCAGAAGGGTCGCTCTCCAGTGTGAAATTTGAGGTTATTTTTTAATTTAGATAAATCCTTCATCGCTTCATGACCTTTTCACAATAAGGACACTGGTTTCCCTGCCTCTGAGCTCCTTGTGCTATCCCAATGGCATCATTATGCAAATCTTCAACATTGTTTTGAGCAGTGGTTTCTTTGGCTCTGATCTGGACTTGGTGGTAATGGTCTTTGTCAGCCTCTGTCTCCATCTGTGCAGCTGAACAGCTGAATGAATCCATGTGGTTTTCAACCTCGAAAAAGTGTCTGAGGCATGAAAAATGTGTCTGTGCTGAAGTCTTCTGCCTGTGTTTCTTCTCTGAGCTCAATTTGTTGAAGCAGTGATGACTCTTCTGTCTTCATACTATGAGCACTGTACTCTGGAACAGGCCTGAGAATCATATTCAATAAAAAATAAAGTACTTTTTAGATCACTGTAGTATGTGCAAAGTGGGTTTTATGAAGCTGATGCTAGATATATAAAGGATTAGTGCTGATCAGTTGTAATGGCTGCTTTTTAAATTTATTCATCAGAATTTAAAAATATCCAATAATTGTTCATGGACAGGATTGTATAGTTGGGGCTGACCAAAAGAGCAAGTGACTTGAAAAGCATAATTTATTCATTCTTCTTTTTAACCTTTTTAGGAAAATCAAAGAGTCTCTGGAAGCTGCTCTTCCTGTTTGATGCTCTGCCCTTCTTTAACCTGTGGAGTCTCTAGTTCAGACCGGGGCCTGGAGTCTTTGGGGAAATCTGGGCATCTGCAGGAGGGAATAGGAAAAGTAAAAGGCCAAGTGAGCTGGTTAGCAGTCAGAGCTGCACCCATTTCACAGAGCACCAGCCCCTCACTGATCCTCCTGCAGGTGGCGAGTCCACAGAAGCCTTGATCTTTCAGTGGGGGCTTCAGTAAAAGTGGGGTTAAGTGTTGGTATCATGAATTGAAACGTTCAAAATATTATATAAATTCTGAACTTTCAAATGTGACATTTTCCCCATCATTATCTCATTGCCTCTCAGCAAATTTCAGAACAGCTTCCTCCATATGGCAAAGTGTTTTGATGATTCTCACAGATTTTTCAAGACCAACAGAATATTGTATGCTATGACTATGCAAAATCTGAAATCTGTATTTGAGAGAATGCACTACCTACTTTCATTAGAAGAAATTAAGTTTGTTTTTGGCTGGTTTTGTTCTTCTGTAATCGCCAGTGAGAAAATAATGAGTTTGTGAAAATAAACACACCATGAAGAACAGTAGTCCCTTCAATAAAACAGAAAGACAACAATGAGGAAGTGCTTTGGATATAAAATGTATTTATTTGGATCCATACACAAAGCAATAAGCCCTCAATGTAATTTTTCCCATAAATACATATTGCAAGTTGAGCCCCAGACACAGAAAAAAAGGAAAATGACAACAAGCCAAAGTGAAAACTATTAACATAAAGGGGTAAGGAAACAGATCTGTAGTGTGCATGTGCATGTTTTTCTGTGTGTGTACATCTACACAGTGTAATCTTTTTTAGAGTGGTATACATTGAAGCACTCTCCAGCGTGTAAGGGAACACAACAGGACTTGCACCACATCCTGGTATCTCTGCGCAGGCCCTTGCGTGTGCAGACCCTGCACCTCCTCGAGGGTCTAGCCTTACTGCTTACTGAGGACAACAGGTATTCCAGCTTGTGCCTAGCCATGTTTCCATCAAGCCTGCTCTCTGGATCAGTGTTGTATGGGGCCCTTGGGATACGATGGGCTCCTTCCTCCAAACAGGATTCGTCCTCCAGAGGAGCTTGTTCTTTCGAAGGTGGTTCTACCTTCACACGTGTATCTTTGTCACTGTGGCCCTCCTCCTGGACGATGTTGCCCTGTTCCTTCTTGTTGCCCTGATCCTCCTCCTCCACTACACATTGCTTAGCTGTCCAGGACTTTGCAACCCGCCGCATGAATTCCAATAGAGTTTTACACTCCTTGTTCCTGGCTCTGTAGAGGATGTAAGCGTTGAACATTGTGATTTGAAACAAATACGCAACATACTTTTTGGACCAGTTCAGTGACTTATGGAAGGAGGGGTTATATGCCTCATTCTTGACAAAATGATCTACTCCATTCATAGATGCTTTGTACGCGACAACACACGCTGGCTTCATCAGAGTCACCTTTTCTCTGTGTCCGCTCTTCCACACGTCAACACTCTTCATGTCATCTTGGTGACAGGTCGTCACCATCTTTACCAGCTTTTTGTCCTGCCACGCCACGACCATGACCTTCTTGTTGTTACACACTACTCTCCCCCCCGCACCCAGCGCAGACTTTTTCACCTCCCTGATCATCCGAGGCTCTCCCCTGTTGTCCCTCAGAGATCCACATACATTAGTTTTTGCTTCCAGTAACTGTTCACACAGTGCAATGGAGTTGTAAAAATGATCCATGAACAATGTATGGCCAGAGCTTGTGAGACGGTCAAGAAGCGAAAACACAATGTCAGGCAGGGCACGTGAATCCCCAACATGAGGCTGCAAGTTGAAGCAGTACCCTGTGGCCGAGTCACACAGTACATAGGATTTAATTCCATATTTGACTGGCGTGTGCGGGTTGTAGACTGTGAAGGACAGCTTTCCCCGCCACTGCATCATGCACTCATCAATGCAGATGTTCTGCCCTGGTTGGAACAGATCCTTGAACTTTTGAACAAGGTAGTCCAAGACGGGGCGAACCTCGTACATTTTGTCCATGTCATCAATTGATGAGTTGTCATTGTAATGCAGGAACCTCCATATTATTTGAAACCTGTTCCTAGACATGGTCTGGCTGAAAAAAGGCGTTGCATCAATCTCGTCAACACTCCAGTACATTCCCAGGCTTGGTTTTTTTACGTAACTGGTCACAAAGGTGAGTCCAAAGAAGGTTTTTAGCTCTGGGATGGTCACTGGTTTCCAAGTATGCCCTCTGCTATGTGGCAGAATATTCGGGTGTGCTTGGAAATACTGCTGGGCATGAAGGTTTGTCTGCCGAGCAATGAGTTGGAGCAGCTCGTCTGTGATGAACAACTCCAGGAAGTCAGCTGGAAGGTCAGAATCCAGTTCTGCAGCGGCATTCTGGGGTCCAGGCGTTGCCGTGAAGGGGAACACATTTGGACTCCAGTCAGCTTTACGCCAGTCGCCATCGTTACTCTTTGCAGCTGAAATAAATTAATGAAATATATACAATGAATAAACACATGAATAGTTTTTTTGATTGCTTGCTTTGTTGTGATTTAGAGGAAGATTTTTTTATTTTACCTGCTCCCTTTTTCCTTTTCTTCACACGTTTATGTGTAAGAGTCACACTGCCAGAATCACTGCTCGATGTAGAGGCTGTAGAATAATACAATAACTTATCAAACGTTTAAAAAAATTAAAAAAATCACACACACTTTTGATACATATAAACGAACACATACATACACTATACACAACGTGTGTACAGTACAGAACAATTATCATAACAGTTTTACAAAATTATATAAGAATTGATATTGATTATTTGCTATGATGTTATGTGTGTGTGCATGTTATGTGTGTGTGCATTACCTGATCTGCTTCTGCTTGGCGTGTAACCATGTGCGTCAGGGGGCGACTCTCTGCTGCTTACAAATTCGAATGGCAACCATTCTGATGAAAACTCCAAGTCTGGTTCATTGAATTCTTCTGACTCTGAACTCTCCGTACTTCGTTTGGCCATGTTTCGATCTGTCCTAAAGTCAACAACTCAGACCACAGACTGTTCAGACGACAATGGGTCACACCAACAAGATACCGACAAGTTGTGTTTCCTGTGACCAAACACCCAGAGAGCGGTGTTGCCCCCTGTTGGCTAAATAACACACTATCTACAGCAAAACACGATAAATGTAACCCGTGGACATAAACATTTTTGACATAATTGACGAGTAAATACGTCATTGGCAACCAAATTAATTGACTTATATGTGCGTCAATGATGGAATGAGAATATCCCCTTTTTCGGTATGGGGCGTGATTTGGGTCATTGTCAACTAAGCCATATTTGTACACCTCATTTTCTCAAAGCCAGGATGTAAAAATCCCCATTCATCTTTGAAAGAAACCAACACGATTCAAAATAAAAGTTAACTTTTGGTGAAAGTAATATATGCCCAGGGTTGCCAGATGCCAGTGAGATTATCCAGCCTAAAATTTAATCAAAACCTCTATGCTATATTCTGAGACCCGAGATCATTTTGAGCCATTTATTATACATTGCACTGTCTTGAGAGTTACCTAAGGTCAAACTGTGACATAAAGACGTAAATAGTTTTCCAATCTATGCCTCAAACATCATGAGCCTCACCCGCTCTGGGCAGCAGCACAGTCGGCCTCAGAGTCTCCAGCTGCTCCTGTCTCCTCTGCTTCTCTTTGCACAGCCGCAGTTCCTCCTCATATTCCGCTATTGTTCTTTCAAACAGCGCAAATATCTCCTCCGTGGCCGTGCAGTCACCAGTCTTCAGTGTTGGTCCCGCAGACATTTTAACAAACTGCTAACACCACGAAAGCTGTGTGGCTAACGGCTAAGCTAACAACAAGCTAAGCTAACAACAACAAGCTAGGCAGGCGTGCATGCTGTTCTGAAACGTTCACTTGCACCATCTACTGGATGATTTGAGTGTTCAATTTTTCATTTTGGATCTTTTTTTAAATTCTCACAAGCTCCGGGCAACAGCACAAAGATGACAATAATAATAACAGAACATAAAACAATCACGTAATACACTACAAACTTTTGTAATCACTGATAGCATACATTTTAGAGTTGATCCACATAACCAGTTACTTATATTGTCTGGGTACAGAGGGATCTGCTGAGCCTGTACATATGACACTCCTCTGCACTGATAATTCACTCATTTTATTCGCTATTGTGGGTTTCTTTCTGGTATTCTCATTCCAACACATGCAGCAGGATGAACTAGTGAGTGAGAAAGATTGTGGAGGTCAGACAAGCTGCTTCACTCCCGTCATCATTATTAAACATGTATGTGAATATCAAGAAGTTTATTTCAGAACACACACAACACAAATCAATCATACCATATAACTAACATACATAGACAATTTGAAAGATGGGTGAAAGCGGCCATTCCCATTTCATATAATTTTGATCAGAAAGGTGGTTTCCAGAACCTAACCCTAATTATTGAGTCAACAGTAGTATACGGCCAGTAAGTAGCACTGTACTAACACTAGGTTAAGATCAGCTTCTTCGCAGGTTTTAGATAGTTTGCGCCGGTGTGCTTCTTCATTGTGCTGTGAAGCCTCATGTGAGATTGAAGACCATTACAGGTGCGAAACTCTTTTCAACAAAAGGCGGAAGTGAATTTCTTGTTCAGTGAGTGCTTCAGTTTGTGGTAATTCCTATTACGGGCTTGTCTAAACGACCGGTTGCAGATGGTACAGGTGTATGGTTTCACACCTGTGTGTATAGTTGCATGTTCGTCTCGACTGTATTTTCGGGCAAATGTTTTTCCACAGGTTGAACAGCTGAAGGGTCGCTCTCCAGTGTGAACTATCATGTGTCTCTTTAGTCTATATGCACTCGTCGCGACCTTTCCACAGTAAGGACATTGGTATACCTTCCCCTGAGCGGTCCTGTGTCTAGTGTTCACAGAGGTACTGGTTTCTTGGCCATTATCCAAATCTTCAGCATTGTTTTGAGAAGTGGTGTTTTTGGCTGTGGTCAGGACTTTGAGGTAGTGGTCTTCGTCTGTCTGCATCTGCGCAGATGAATAATCAACATCATTATCAGCGTAATAGAAATCTCTCACAGTCTCTGCGCAGAAATCTATAATGTCATCGTCTTGTGTTTCTTCTCTGAGCTCAGTTTTTTGGAGCATTGACGACTCAGTCTTCATGAAAACAGCACTGCACTCTGGGACAGGCCTGAAAAACAAGTAAAAGGAAAGTTATTGTAGACAAGGTAACGTATCCTAGCAACCTACCCACAAAATTCTTTCTTTCTAATCAGCACTTTTTTGTACATAATAAATCCTGCATTAACATGCTGCACATTTCTTACTTTTGCACAATTCTTGAGTGTTCCTATCCTTGCCAATGTGACATGTAAATTTCTCCTGTGAGAGATTAACAAAGTCTTATCTTATCAATAGACCAGTATCCCGGGTAAGTAAGGTTTATTTGTATAGCGACTTTCACAGACCAGGATCACAAAGCGCTTCACATTTAAAACATGCAGATAAAAAAAATACACAAACGAGTCAGATTTAAAACTGACACAGAAGATGGTTCTCATCATTAACACAGTTCACAGAGGCCTATGAACAGTGATGCGAGAAAGCCAGTCTAAACAAATAAGTCTTAAGTTGGGACTTGAAATCATCAACAGACTAACTTGCGCAGAGACTGAGGAAGCTCATTTCAAAAGTGAGGAGGAAATGTCTGGAAGGATCTGGCTCCTCTGGTTTTAAAACGAGTGCAGGGGACCATCAACAGGTTCTGGGAGGACCTCTGGCTCCTGTTGGAGACATAGGAGTGGATCAGGCCCTGGATGTATTCAGGCGCCTGACCATTAAGTGCCCTGAAAGTCTGCACCAGAATTTTAAAATTGATTTTGTGTGAGACAGGGAGCCAGTGTAAGGACTTCCAAGATAGGAGTAATTTGGGGTTTCCTGTTTGCCTTGACAGTTAGTAGGAGAAACCAGTATTTGGGGTTCAGAAGGCTAAAGAGAGTAGTACAGCTGGAGAATGTCAGCATGAAGGTGGTAGGAGACCTTACTGAACTGCTGGATCAGTTTGCTTAGAACCAAGGTGTCCAAACCGGTCCAGAAAGGGCCGCTGTGGCTGCAGGTTCTATCAGAACCAGCAGGAGCAGAGCAGACTCCACCCATTTCCTCAAATACTCAGGTTAAGACTAAACTCACTTGAGGAAATGGGCGGTCTCTGCACTGCTCCTGCTGGGTCTGACAGAAAACCTGCAGCCACAACGGCCCTTTCTGGACCAGTTTGGACACCCCTGGCCTAGAAGGAGCAGGTGCATCAAAAACAAAATAGGCCCAAGAACGGAGCCTTGGGGTACACCCCACTGTAGGTCTGCAATTCTGACACCATGTCATTAGAGGACACACAGAAGGTTCATGTGTCAGGTATGATCTAAACCACTAACACAGAGCCAACCTCATCCCGCAGTCTACAAACCAAGATGCCATGGTCCACCGTGTCGAAAGCAGACGACGGGTCTAACAGGACCTGGACGGAAAATTTACCAGAGTCAGCAGCCATTATGATGTCACTAGACACTTTCAGTAAAGCTGTTTCAGTGGAGTGAAACTTCCTGAAACCAGACTGAAAAGTGTCAAAACATTTATTTGCCTCCAAGAATGCTGTAAGTTGATTATAAACAGGGGTCCACATAACTTTTTCTGTGAGGTACTCAGATGAGTACCAGGAGATGGTGTTTGGTACTCACTCCATTTGTCGCGTGGTTCTTAATCGAGATTTTATACTTTATGCTTCTTTTTAATGGTAAAGTTTAGATCAGCTCAGATAATCCACTCAATCCAAGTCAAATAATGACTCACAGGGCTCTTTCCTTAAAATGCAAAACAGAACAAAAATCAAGCAATGTTCTGTTTGATTTGTTCACAACATTTTTCTTTTGGGCACAACCAACATCATTATGCATTATTAATGCAAGGGAAAAAAATGTAGGTACCACAGCTTTAATTTGCACACAGGGAGGACATGGACACTCCCTTAAGGCCCCATAGTCCAACTCTGTTTCTTGCAGTAACGCAATATGTATTTATTTATTTTGCGTTACGCAGACACACACTTGCAACAAGCAGAGAATGGTCCGCGCTGGATACATTATGACCATTTTCGGCAACGTGCTCGCCGCGCTGTTGTCAAGGAAAATAAATTAGCCGAGCTCCGAGTCCAGTGCTTAGGTGGGCTTTGAGCGTGTTTACAACGAAATAAGCTAAACACAAAGTTCACACTGACACATAGGTCACCTATAAAGAACTTCTCGCCCCCGCTCCTCGAGGCTTACGTCACTCACATTCTCCTTTCAAATCTCCCTCCAAATGGGCATAACCTGGAGGACTAAAGGGGACAGGCGTTGCATTGACAATAAATGCAACGAGTGACTAAAACTGCAATATTCAACAACAGCACTATTAACACTACACCATTATCTATAATACAAACAGCTATGCAAATAAAAACCTACCTAAATGCTATAACTAATCGCAAACCTGAAAATCGATAAATACTCTCTGCTATTCCTTCTCCAACTCACAATGGGGGCGTGAACGAGACTGGGCTGTTCATGCTCACTGGGCGGCAGGGCAACTCACGTCAGCCTTCACTGCAGACGTCAAGTCTCACTGCAGACGTCAGCCATCACTGCAGACGTCAGGTATCACTGCTGCGCCAATGTTGGCGCCAGATTCAAAATTCAAATGTAGTAAATACAGGTCGCCTGCAGATGACGCACTGACTGTTTTAGGCAGAAAGTTGATCTTTCAACTAATTTGCACTAAAGTGACAAAATTATGACCAGGATATGTACACAACACTATTGGACACTCATTTATACTGTTTATCAGCAAAAAAAGTGGATTTGGGGGTGAGTTGTCCTTTAAGTTTCAAGTTACCTCCTCTGTAACCAGCGGCAGACTCCCATTGAGCAAATTATTTTGGTAGAAATTGGAAGTATAAACAGGAAAAAACATATGGGCCCATACCTAATTGGTACAACACAGATAAATATACTCTAAAATCAAACATTACATCATTATACTCTCAAAACATGTACATTTAACATCACATGGGCACAATTCCAATTTAACCCACCAGGAAATATTGTCCCGGTTCGATCCTCGCGCACAGACCCAGAGGAGTGCGACAGACCGGTAAATGTGTTTGTATGTGCAATTGTGCACCTTTGGCGAAATAGTAACTGAGGGGAGAGACGGACGAGAGAATGGATGATGCGTGTGGATGTTACGTATAAAGGAAACAGGGAAAAAAATGGTGCGCTAGTGTGGAATGATGTTTGTGTGTGCGTGCCGGTGTGTGTAGCACGTGCGGCATGAAAGTCAGCCTTTAGTATAATACTATATTTGCGCACGTAGCAGATACGGACCCGCTCCGTCACACTGGCATTGCACCACGACCCCCAAGGGACGAGTGCCCCACTATTTGAGAAGGACTGGTCTATGTGAAGTAAGTAAGTAAGCTTTATTTATATACCGCCTTTCACAGACCAGAGTCACAAGGCGGTTTAAAATTGTTATTTTGTGGGTATTTGTCCACTCACTCCACACACAGATGGGAGCGGGGTCGCCAGTATAGGAGGCGCAAGCCAGAGCTATTGTACAGGTTTTTAGTGGTAGGGGAAGCCGGAGTACCCGGAGGAAACCTACGCAGACACGGGGAGAACATGTAAACTCCACTCAGAAAGGCCCTGGTCCGACCGGGATTCGAATCCAGGACCTTCTTGCTGAGA